CGAGCGCGGCCAACGCGCACGATTTCATCGCGGGATTAAAAGACGGATACGACACATCGTGCGGGGATAGAGGAGTGCAGTTGTCCGGAGGACAAAAACAGCGGATTGCCATAGCCAGGGCGATACTTCGAAACCCTGTCGTCTTGTTGTTGGACGAGGCGACCAGCGCGCTCGACAGTCAATCGGAGAAGGTTGTGCAGGACGCGCTAGAGCGCGTGATGGTGGGGAGGACTAGTGTGGTGGTGGCCCACAGGTTGAGTACAATACAGAATTCTGATATGATTGCCGTGCTCGATAAAGGGCAGGTGGTGGAGAAGGGGACCCACTCGTCGCTTTTGGCCAAGGGTCCTACAGGTGCTTACTTCTCATTGGTCAACCTCCAAAGAACCCCACGTCAAGAGGGCACTTAATTGTAATGAAATTACAATTAACCCTCCGTTCTTTTTGTTGTTTTGTTTTGGCCCCATCTGGATGGTGGTTGACGATGATAGTCTAAAATAGTCCCAAAGTATGAAGTGTGCTTAAAGTCTTTTTGTAATAATGAGAACTTTAATGAAAAGCTGGTACTGTTCGCTTTATCTTTTATTTTGTCCGTATTGATAAAACTCAAAGTTTTCAAATTCTTTTCATTAGTTTTCCTTTATAATAATAGTGTTGTATATGTAGGCATTGGGCAAAAAGTATGGACTGGAAAACTAGAAAGGATGTTAAGGCATTGTACAAGTATTGGATAGTGTCAAAGAGATTAATTTTTTTGACCAAATTTGTAAATTATGTGATATGTCTCCAACATGAAATAAACATGTTAATTAGCACTTAAATAATAATCCAATCATCAACCACCATATCATATGATTTACAAAATTTAATTTAAATATATAGTCTCTCTAACATTACCCATTCTCTATTTTTCCAAACTCTGATGTACATTGTTGTCTAGTAGTTAAATTTTCCAAAAGAACATACCCAAGTTTTATGAACTTGATATGGAATTGTTTGATAACTACCTCCACATAACTCTTGACCAAAAAAATAAAATACCTCCATTACCAATACAATTGAAAAAGAAAAAACCGACCCGATTGTTTTAACTTTTTCCACTAAAAGCAAAACATGAAGAGTCTCACAACTGGTTAAACAATGCTTACCACGTATTTCAAGTATCGTCTCCATGTTCTTGTTTACCATTACGGCTTGTACCATTTAACAGTGCAAACAAACTTTGGATTTGTGTTTGGGTTTGGAGTTGGGTAGGGCTTAGACTAATTTTGGGTTTGTGTTTGGGTTTGGTTTGGGTTTGGAGTTGGGTTTGGAGTTGGGTTTGGTTTGGGTTTGGGCTTAGATTAATTCATTAATGTTGTCAGCAGAAAGTTGAGGAAAGTAGTACGAGAGAACATATACCCTCTTCTTGTGTGACCGTGAGGGAGACCTCCCTACATCTCAAGATGCCATCATGGCTTCTCAAACCAATGAAGCTTGAGTGGGTCGAAGATTTGAGGCTCGGTAAAGGCCTTTTACCTTAATTATAAAATAGAATCTGTAAGGTAACACGATAGGGTTAAGTAAAATTCGAGAGTCTATATGCATTTAGTACCTTTTTTGAATTTTCTTTCCCCTCATAGCACTATATATTGGTCTGGAACGCTATGGTAGAATCTCGGAATATAGGCAAGTCTGCCCCCTCTCATGTTTCTGAAAACATGTTCTTTCATGTTTTTCTGTTGATATTATAAACTTTGTTGTTGTTATAGTAACTAGATTAAGCAAATATTTACGAGATTCAAGAGTGTAGTAAAGATGACTACGGAGAATTTTTTAAGTTGCTTAACATTTATAGCAACGGAATAATTAAAAGGAATGGTCTGCAAGTTTTGGCACATGTTACCCCATGCATGTTCAGCACTTAATCAACACTTCTAACGTGCAGGCCCTGTGTGCTTGCTCTTCGAGCTAGGGCAAACTGGACAAAGGATAATTAACCACACATATATCTTTCTGTTCAGTAAACTTTCTTACAAAATATTGTTGCCTCTAGTTTTACCTTTTCCGGTAAACTTTGCCCATCTCAGGTGACTGATTTATTGGGACAGTATCCAGATCTTCTGGAGGAGTTCAATGATTGATTGGAGCGTCGTGAAAATGCCGGTAACTGTAAAAAGAAAACGCCATCACTTTTATGCTGCTTTCTTGTGCTTCTTTGCCTTTTAGATTGTATCTGATTTGATTTAATACGATGATATATATTTTTGTTCTATATATAATTTTCAAACCCTAACCTTGTTTTTCTTCCGTTCATTCATTTTTTCGCAAAATTGCAAGTGTTCTTCCAACAATTTCAGTATGCTAATGTTACTAACCGAGTGTTACAGTCTCTCATGTTTTCGTCGGGCATATACCGCCAGGGATTCATTTTCTGTGAAGGAGTGAAGATGAGGTTGTGCAGTTAAGCTTACTGCGAGGAGTTTTTGAAGTGCTTTCAGATTTCTCACAATTCACAAGGGAATAATTACGAGGAATGATCTACAAACTTTGGTGAGTCTTACATTGTCTGCTTACTTTTTGAGCACAGATTTCATCTTCCTATTTATTAAACTTTCTTTAAAAATATTATGTAAGATAAAAGATTGATTATGAGGGCGAGCATTGACGTAATGAAAAAGTTGGTCCTTTGTGACCAAAAGGTGGTTATAGTTGTAAAAACAGTCTCTTTGCAAAGCAAGAATAAGGCTGCATACGATAGACGTTCCCACTCGACCCTCGCAAAGCGGGGAACCTTAGTGATTTTGGGTCGCCCTTTGTAAAAGTATTGATTACATGGTGGTGTTGTCTCTAGTTTGACATCTTTTTTATGGTAAACTCTGGCCCAAGTCAGGCGACTGATTTATTAGGAAAGTATCCAGATCTTCTGGAGGAGTTTAATGATCTCTTGAACCGTTGTGAGAAATGAGAATGTAGTTACGTGTCAAAAGTGTCGTCACCTTAAGTTGCTTGCTTGTGGTTCTTCCTCCTTTATAGATTTTATCGGATTAGGCAACATAACTAAGCATTTGACGAAATTTCATTACTAGTGAAAATCACTACAAAAAAAATGAGCACTGCACACAAAAAATTATATGTGCCTTTTGAGGCCAAAAAGCACCAACATTTGTGCTCATAGACCAATAGCAACAGTGCAGCAACTAAGTTTGTATCTGTGCCCTCTATGGGCGTCACCATTACTTATAGCACACAATATGATGTTTTGTGCCCAAAGCTAAGCACAAATACAACCCTTATTGTGTCTTTCCTCTAATAAAGGCTACTGAATGTATGGTGTAAGATGGGCACAATTGCTATTTTAAAGGCTTAGATTGCTGTATAAATGTTAAAGCAAGGGCACAACTTTAAAATTGTGCCACTATTATATTTTAATAAATACAATAAAACTCCAGCACAATTAAAAATTTGTGGCATAATTGGATATTTTTATTTAAACATGGAAATCATCAGGTTGCTCATAGAACCTAATTTCCACCTAAATTTAGAAACTTACAAATCATCCATTACAAACTAAACATAAATCAACATTAGCACTAAAATAGTGAAGTTAATATATTACATAACCCATGTTCTCGGCTAAGACCGATTCATGCAACCTAACAATACAACCCATCCAAATGTTAAACCAAAAAATACATGTTATCCTATGCTGGACATACCCGGGATTCTCTATATACAACAAAATATAACATATCCAAGCTTGTATCCCCAAGTCAAATGTACTAATGGTTAAACTAGCAATATATAAACAAAATACACATCTACAAGGGCTGCTTGATGACAACTAACCAGTATTCTCCCTTTGGCAGTCCTCATGCATCATAGCACTAGAAATTGGAGGTCCACACTGCACATTCTTGTCATTTCCACCTTCGAAACGCGTTGAAATCTGAGCGTGTGAGCTTACATGGAAAAGAAAACAATGTTAAATATCCTAGGTGCTCCATTTATAATTATTCTCTATTTCTATATATTTAAACTACCAATTATCAGCACAAATATTTCATTTCCTTGCAACTACCACAACTACATATAAAACATACTTGATAGAGCATGTAATTGCTTTAACGTCTTTATCAAAAAATTCGTTGGTTAGGAAATGCAGAGTGTTGCAATGGAAACATGAAGACCGAATACAGGAGTGTGAATTCAGTGTGCCGTATGCTATATCAATGTTAACATTTCATTTTTACTTAAAATAGCCCCAAAGATTATATAATAATATAGAACTCACCAAACCACCAAACCACTTACCCTAACAAAAAAATGCTGAGAATAAACATGTGTCAATATGTAGCTAAAGGGAGACATAAACTGCAAATCAACAGTGACTAAAAACAAAATCTCATAGACCAACCATACATAAACATGCAGCAAAAAGAAAAAAAAATGTCGGAAAAACTGACCTTTAATTGTGATTCTAACGAAAACAGCGAGGTTGATTGAATCTACAGATCATGCGCAACCCTCTCCTAAAACCAAAGCAAACGCAAGATAAGCTAACCACAATAAACTCTTTTACCACAATTCTTAGCCTGCAGGTATGAATAACGGTTAGAATTCACATGTTATAGTAAACAGAAATATACTCTCATTCTGCTAAATTGTGAACTGAGAAAAACAAATGCCTAGATGTAGGAAAAGATTTATAAGATTTTAAAAAATGCAAAAAAAAAAAGGGTAATCATCCTCTTATAAATGTTTTATTATACTTTGTACCCGACCAAACATTGCATCTGTGTGTTAAAAAACATAAGGATAGAACTTGAAGTGTTCTTAAAACGGAAACCCAATTGCTTGATGTTTCGAGGCTTCCAACTCAGTAGTCATTGCAGCAAATTTGGAAATGAAACAACGACATCTTTCGAACCACAGATATTATGAATTCTCTATAACTGGTGCAAACTTCCCTATATAAATAATAAAGACAAATGCATAATCTTGAGTACCTTGTATACAGTTCCAACCCATGTTGCCAAAATCCTAAATTTCACAACCAAATAATCACAAAATTTCCTCAAAACACCAAAAGTTCAAACTAATAAGATTTGAAAATTCGAAACAATCCACCTTGTGGATTTGCAGATTATCAATCAAGTTTTGATGTCCTGATTCCCTTTAGCATCTGTTTCTGTCAGCAACCATGGAGAGCAAGAGAGAGCTTGAAATTCTCTGTTTAAAAAAAATATATATAAAAAGATGCTCTTTTATGCATTTTGGCAACATTGTTATAAATAAGATGTTGAAATTTAAGAGCATTATGTAAAAGATATTAAAAAAAATTAAAAAATTAAAAACCCCATCTATTATGATCTCTGCATACCCCTCCTGTCTCGTAGGAGAAGCTGATGAAAAGTGGCAGTAGAATCAAGCAACCAAGTTATGAAATACAAACTTAAAATTTACCTATTTACTGTGTCTAATGAACCTGTGAAATCAAATAGTTAAACCCTAAAATGCACCATTGCAAATAGCATAAGAAAATTGAAATTAACCCTAAAGAAATTGGGAGAGAAGAATATGAAGGGAATACCTTTCGGCCCTTTGAGTTATTGGAAAAATACCCAACAGAGCAAAAGCCTCCAACTCCAAAGACTGTTGTGGGATTTGGAAGGGAGCAAGCGAGAGAGAAAATATCAGAAGAAATAAGGCAAGAGAGGGGGAACCAAAAGGGGGAAGAAGAAGCAACAAATGCGAAGATGAGGAAGAAGAAATAAGGGGGAAAAAGGACGACTGAAATTAAGTACGCAACCATATACTTATAATAGCAACTAATCAAATAGAACTAAAAAAATATGGAGGAATCATATCAGTCACACTTACAAAGTATTGAAAGATATCGAGCAACAAAGTCAGTCTCACAGTTAAGTTCAATAATAGCAGCCTTGTTCTCATTCTGAGCTAGAGCCAGCAAGCCCTCAGCAGCCATCTGAGATGACTTTTTCGACGCCAAAACCTTCCTTCTCCTCCTCAATTCCTTCTGAGCAGCCTCTGCATTTCTTTAAACCAATTTTTTTGAAGCATCACTAAGTTTGACACCTGAATTGTAATCAAAGAAACCATGTTAATTATGGTAGGAACAAAATAAGATTCATTAATATGATTCTCTACATTAATATGATTCATTACATGAAAATGAGAAGAAAATTGGAACTTTACACACAAAAATTAAAAGAGCCATGTTCAAAAGAGTTTTCTAATTATCTTGAGGAGAGGAGGTCACCTAACATGACCAAAAACAATATTTCTTTTACTAAAGCTATAAACATCAATTTCTATCTGACAAGAAATCTTAAATTACATGGATAATATTTATGGTTATAAACTGAAAACACAACCTGACGTGATCCATTCGTTGATAATGCACCAATTTGAAAAGCAACCACACACCTATGGTTATATTTTCTCTCCCTGTTCACAGACAACATAAACCCATTTGTTAGTGACTCAAATAAATAACATAGAGGATGAACTAAAGCTATAAAGGAAGACCACCTTCGACCTTATGAACATATCGAGGTAGAATTTCACATAATAAAAAAAACCCTAATTTAGAAATTACCTAATCTTTTGCAGGATGAGGGTATGGTAGTGTTTTCGACGGCGGTGATGTGGCCGCGGTGGTCACGACGGCAGTGATGGGGTGACAATGGTGAATCGTGATGGTCTGAGCTGCATAACAGCGAACACAAACAAAATCCCCAAAAATAACAAAAAGGAAATTTGAACACAAAATCCATTTGTAAATCCAAAATCACAAAAAAGAAATTCAAACAAAACAAAAAAGAAATTAAGAGAGAAACGGAGGAGAGAGAGAGATCAGAGTACCGTTAGTTAAAGAGTGGACGGCGTCAGTTCTCGGAGCACTGTAATCCCAGAAGATCTCTTCCGCCGTTGGCGGACTCGAGCCCATCTCCCTGTTCCTCTCCTTCATCTCACCGAAGCTCTCGAGTTATAGAAATGGAGACCAGTTTGTGTGGTTTTGGTTTTAGGAAGCAGGAGCCGATGCTATTCCAGAGATGGTGTTGTGGCTGCTAGGGTTTGAGAAGGACAGAAACAGGAAGAGTGAGAGATGAGAGAGCGCTCACTTAGCCAGGAGATGAGAGAGTGCACGCGTGTAACCCAGTAATCCGTGCTAAACCAAACGGACAAAATTACCCTTCGAACTGTTAAGAATTACCCTCCCAACCCAGCCTCATTTGGCTGGTATTGTTGTAAATAGCATGAAATCCAGTGGCTCCGTGCTAAACCATATGGACAAAATCACCCTCTGAACTTTTGAGAATTACCCTCCCAACCCAGTGTATGGCTGGGCACCCAAATCCCACAGACAAAATTACCCTCCTATCGTTTCATAATTACCCTCCAACCCAGCCACATAGCAGATGGCTTTCTTGCAAATAAGGTGAAATCAAGGGGTATTTTCTTGACTGTAGCCATGAACAGGCCAATTCCCCTCCAACTTTAGAATAGATAATGTCTCATAACCTTTGTGTTGCCACGCTGTGAATTCACTGAATTCTGCGGTATGAAGCGGACGAGAAACATAATTATAACCTAAAAAAATATATACTAGGAGTAAATCTACAAGGGCTAATTAGAAAGAAAACATTATTATATTGGAATACGACATAAGTTGATAAAAGGACCCAAGAGGAGTCCAGCATAGCATAAGATAGTTATATTTTCATAGTACACCAGTGAAATATAACATAATACAAAATATATTAATTGTCCTCGTCATCGCTGCTTAAAATCTCAACGGTAACATTCTGCATATTTCGTGAGCTCAACTGTGGGACAGACAGACCTCTAGGACGAATTTGTGCTTGATAAGTGCGTGGTTCTTCAATAATAACGACAGAATTGGTAGACTGTTCAGTTGTTGTTTCAGCAGAAACCAAATTGACAGGATATTGTTCTGTCCTACCTGGGTTTGCCCATGCTGGCAATACACGTCCTTGAGGTGCGCGTACGCATCCGTTATTGAAGAGTAATGCGTAGCCAAGGCAACCATCAACAAAAGTAGTAAGAATGTACTGATTATTAAAAGGACGAGGCATGCGCCCGGCATTAACAGGTTGTCGTGGACGTTGAACTGGAGGATTCATTGTGGAATTTTCTGTTGTAATGTTGGAAGCAATATACGAATGTGATGATGGAGATTCAGTTCCAATTCTAACTCCACGACGTCGCCTGTCCGCCATTGTCAATGATGTAAAACTTGCTCAAATTCAAAAGAAACATATGTGTATGAAGCAACCTTCTTAATTTCCATATACAAATTAGTAAGGGAGTGTGTGGACGTTTTATAGTAGAATAAAGGCACAAATCCATAATTGTGCCAACATATTCTTTTGCTATAGAGTATTTATTATTTATTAATATTTACTGGACACAATTTCTAACATTTGTGTCAGAAAAGAGGAATTTATAATTATTAAAATATATTCTCTATTTGAAGACCCAATGAGAAGTAGAGTGATTTATTATTTATTAATATTTAGCGGACACAATTTCTATCATTAGTGTCATAAAAAGGAATCTACAATTATTAACTCATTTGTCTATCTGAAGACCAACTAACTTTTGCACAGAGACCAACCCTAAGGGCACAATTGTTGGTTATGTGTCACTGCAGGTAGGACTTTAAAACAAAAAACCATATCACCAAGTATAAAAAACAAACCTGCAAGAAGATAACAATCCAAAAAGCAATTCAAAAAGATACGAATCTAACAAACATTCATTGCACCTGGAAATGATCCTTTGTAAATCTAAAACATGCCACTTAGTACTATGGTGTAGTGGTATTCTTCTTTACTTGTAAGTGAGAGATCTGAGGTTCAGCTTTCGGGAAAAACAAATTTGAACAACATTATTGCTAACTTATTTTGAGGCTAAAATATTGCACGGTAATAAACAGCTTCATACCATTATTTACCACAATTTTATAAATTTTAATTATTGGTGTGCTAGTGGAGGTAAAGACAAACGAGAGAGAACATATAGTGCCTTTGACAAATAATTTTTATAGACACAAAATATTTTTTGTGCCCATTTTCAGTAAAAAAGTTGTCATGTGATCCCACTCGACACGATTTCCGTGCCCATTACTGTTTTGTGTCTGCTTTTTTTAACATTGGGCACAATAGATGGTGTCCTCTATGGAATGGGAATTGTTTAAGCTTTTTGGTAGTCAAACTGACACAAAATTCTCAATTGTGCCCTTTATTTTGTACCCAAAGCTCATTTTTCTTGTAGTGAATGTGCAACTTTCACAACGACTGTGACAAAATATCAGCGTTTTCCTTAGACAAATCCAAAATAACAATTGATAGCCATGTTTACAAATTATTCCCAGACTAATTGCATATATAGTCATGTTATTTATTCGATAGAAATTTATTGGGATCGATACTCACGTGAAAATGTGTTCTATTTATTTGATAGTCATGTTTACAAATCATTCCTGGACATGATCTGGACATGTATCGAACACAAGAAAAAGACATAACGGAGTGTTACAGAGAGGTAATTAAACATAAGTAATTTTCACTACTTGTGTTTGATGACATTAATCAAATTTTGTTACAAAATCTTTTACCGTTTTCTTTTTAAATAGGGTAGTGCTATCTACATATTTTTTTTTTTTTACTTTCCATACGCTCTTCTTGAGCTCTGGCTGTTAAATTAAATGAATTTAAAAAGTTCAAATGACATAAATTAACAAGGGTGTATGTATAAGTAAAACGCGGTGTATAGCATCATCCCTTAAATATATTCATGTTGAAGCATATATTCCATGCATTAGCGGAAGCCTCGTGAAGTTAAACCAACATTATATCAAGGGTAATTTGTTTGAGGCACAAAAAAATTTCAATGTTAGGATTATGTTAACTAACATTTTGTGTTTTTATAAAAACAAAAAAACAAGAACGTGTTAACGTAAAAAAGAGGTGTGCGTAAAACACTTATGTTATCAGTGGCGAAGCCAGAAATTTTCGAAGGGAGAGGCGGGATTTCAAAGGGTAAAAGGTCCTAAAAAATTTAGACAACCAAATAGTGGATAATATTAATGTCTGTTATAATCCGTACTTATCAAATGACCAAAATGCCCCTGGGGATGGCGTCTTGAAAAAATATGTGAGTTGTGACTTTTGGGAAGAGCAAAATGATAAAATGTTGTCATATTTGATAATCATTGATTCTCTACTGCACATTTCAAGAATGATCAGGAGAAAGCTGCTACGCCTATTATTTTTTAATTCCAATTTATAGGGAGAAGCACTTGTTATACTTGGTCATTTACTGATTTGAATTCCTTGTACAATTTGTTGTATAAACCAAATTCTATATGTATTAGTCCTATATATAGTTCTTTTAAACACCAAAGTGCTCCCAAATCTTATATGGCTTAAGATCATAAATTCGTGAATTTCATGATAAGAACTAATTAATAAAAAAATCCAGATTAAAATAAACAAAAAAGAGCGAGGAATAAAAAGAAAAATTTAGCACAATAATGCCTAAATAATAATAAATTGATTATTTCTGCTGCTTTTTTTTTTAACTGTTTTACTTAGGGATGCGCTGCACCTTTGCTCTAATTGGAGGTTGAAAAGCAAAAGGTCCCAGAGAGGAGAGTACGTGTCTCGTACATGTCTCATCTCTAATTACGTCCACCAACTTAACCACAACTTAACACTGTTAAATTTAATATATAAAAATAAAATAAAAACCCACCACCGGAGAGTCATGGCCTTCTTCGTTCCCTCCAATACCACGACCTCCTTAGCCCCAATCCAACACATCAGCCATGACCTAGCCTCCTCTGATCAGGTATCATGGTCGTCCTTGGTGGCGTCAATCTCGTCGGTTTCAGTCAGTCAGAAGATTGTGGAAGAGAGACAGCAGCAGCAGCAGAACCAGAACTGGACAGCAACAGCAGCAGAACCAGTCGGGTTTTCCGGCGAGGGGAGGGGCTGAACCACTATCCAGGCGTGTTTTTCCGGCGAAGGGAGGGGTGGCCACCAGTCCTCGCCCTTATGTGGCTTTGCCATTGTTTGTTATCTTGTAGGAAGTTAATTTTCAAATAAAATTGAATGCTCGGGAGAAAGTTGGCAAGAAGAGAACAAATAAGCTTATCCACTTTCATTCTCCAGTTTCCAGTTGTGGATGGGCCTTAATCTTAGTTTCTTTCTTTGTATTAAATAACATAATTGTTTTTTTTATTTATTATTGATAAGCAACTTAAAGTGCGTTTGTTGTAGCGCTTATCAATTATTTCTCAGTCTGACACTGCTTCTAATTCCGATTCCGGTTCCCATCTCGAATCGAGGTCTTTGTTCATGATTCAGGGTTGGGGACGAGGAGAGATGGAGAGAACGCAAGCAGAGAGGAGGGTAGAGGACGCGAGTAGAAAGCGATCGAAGGGATTCGCTACTCCCATGGTTCGTGACGTTTCTCGCCAAGACCGTCTAGCACGATCCTTTGCTTTGGTATCGCTATGCTTAAAAAAAAAAAAAATGTGAGAATAAATTTATTTTCGTCGCTTCACGTACTGATTTGATACTGAGGTGTTTTATAAAATGTGAGTATAAAAAATAAAAAATTAATGAAAATAACTTGAAAACTTTGAGTTTTAATGATAAAAATAAAATAAAAGATAAAGTGAATAGTACCAGGATTGACTTTTTAGTGTAAAAATATGGTTTTTCGTTAAAATGAACAATACCGCAGGCTTTTCGTTAAAACTCTCTATAAAAAAAAAGCTAAGTTTAAAACGATGTTTGGTACACACTTAAAAACAGCTTATTTTCACATTTTTGGATGAAAAAAGCTGAAAATGTGGGTTGGTTTGGTATTGTTGGGCTTTGAAAAAAAACTGTTTCTGGTGTGATGTGGGAATAAACTGATTTTTGCTACTTCACATTTTCATTTTTTTGCACCAAAAACTGTGAAAATAAGTTGTTTTTAAGTATTTACCAAATATTTTTTTGAGCTCAACTTTTTTATATACCCACTTTTTATAAAAACATCTCAGTACTAAACTAGTACTTAGTGACTGCGAATCTAGCTTACTCCCACTAAAGCTAGTTTGTGAAGTAACAAACATGAGACTGGACTAACTATTAGCTTAGTCTAGTCCAATAAGGGCTAGTGAAGGAAAACAAACACACCCTTAATTTCTTTTTTGATAAGACGATATTGAATGGGTGAATTGACACATTGTTATGGTTAACTGACCTAATCTAATTCCGCTTTTAACACCTTTTTTTTTTTTTTTTTTTTTCATATTTACTCGTTGTAGACCCTACGCTTTAAAGACGTTAGGAATGAATCAAAGTCATGAAACTAATATTTATGTGTATTTAAAAATTTAAATCTCACAACTCCTCCCCATTGTTTTCTTCTCTTTTGTCACTGTCATCTAGGCTCTCCTTTTTGCATAGTTTACTGTGGTTACTTTTGTACATGAAGTTGACAGTACCACCACGATACCACTTGGGAGGAAGGAGCCACCTTTTTGTGTACTTGCGTTCAGAAAACTTGTGCGGTTTCAGGTTTACGATTCCTCCTGAAACACATTGCAAACACTACAAAAATTTAGGGTTGGTTTGATATTATTGTACTTTAAAAAATAATTATTTTTGTTGTGCTATGAGAATAAGTATTTGTGAAATAAAATAGCAGAATATTTGGTAAACATTTTTGTAAAAGTGCTTTTGAAAAAAAAACAGTATTATATTGTTTGATAAACTTTTATGTAAAACAGATGTGAAAAAAAACTGGTTTTTCAAAGTTTGGTTTTGCAGCTTTGTGTTTTTGGCTTTTTTTCACCCAAAATTGTGAAAAATAAAAGCTAAAGCTGAATGTTTACCAAACATAAAAAAAACTCCCAACTTTTTTTGATAGCCATTTTTTTTAGAATTACCTCAATATTAAACTAGGGCTTAAAGTGCCGGAACACAGCTAGCTATATCAAGTGTAATAATATAAATAAAGGTAAATTTGAAAAATAAATTTAATTAATTATATTATGACATTTGTTGTACCGAATTATGTTCTTGACACATTGAAAAACTTATATGAGAAAACAAACAAAACAAGTAAAATACAAAACCAAGACACACGAAAAAGGGGGGAGACTGTGCCAGATTTCGGCCCAATTTACCTTTTTGCTAATTTGACCAAAGTCTAGGGTTTTGTAATAAAACTATGGATTAAGTGCCGACCGATATCTTTTACGTTTATTTGCAATTATAGAGTAATTGCAAATGACCAATACAACTTCAAAGATGTGGTACATCAACATCATCTAGAAAATGAGGTCGATTTCTAGTCGCATAATATATTGAGCTTAATAATATAGTCACAAGAGTACTAACTATAGCAGAGCCAGAATTTCTTATTTCGAAATATCAAACATAAGATGTCGAGATTAATAATATACATATCAAACTCAATGTTGTAAACTTATTTTTTTTTCAAGAATTTGAGTACTAACAGAAGACTTGATGTAAAACCGAGTACATTAATATTCTATGATTTTTGCAATCATCCCGTTTAATTAGATAGAGCTTGAGGCCCTGTTTGGCAAATCGGATAAAGGATCGGATAGGATTAGTTATACGGACCCGGGTGTTTGACGTTCACTCGTACTAAATAAGCACCGGATTAATTAACCGGTCGGATAGGATAATACGATATACACCCGCTTAATAAAACCAACCAAAACGTCCGGATTATTTAGTTGGGGAAGAAGAATATGGGAGAGAAAGGGAGGGAGTTTGGGGGGTGTGGCGGAGAGAGTTGGGGAACAATTATTTGGGATTCTTCTACCGTCGGGGAAGAAGAAGGGAGAGAGAGGGAGGGTGTTTGGGGGGTGCGGAGAGACCTGGGAACAAAAAAATGATTTCATTTAAATTTTTTTTTTTTTTTTAAAGTTTGATGCCTCCTATATAGTATAATATCAAACACAGTATAAATAATACGGTCACTAGTCCGATACTGCACCAAACACCCGACTAATTTAGTCAGTACTATCCGGTGACTATTTATCCTATCCGACAGAAATAGTCAGTCCGAGCTGCCAAACGAGGCCTGATTGTTGTTGTTGTAAGAATTTGGGAACCAAAGTAGGGCAACTTTCTAGTAACAATTAACATGTACTTTCGAGATAATATAATCATGGGCTAAAATTGTCCAAACCCGGCCCATAAACCGATCCAAAATGAACGAAATAGCTAAATATAAGAAGACTTATTATATTAATACCCCCACATACTTAATATACTTCATATTTATTTATTTTTAATTAAAAATGATCTTACTACACCTCACATACTTTTCCAAAATACCCTCACACCCCACATTTCCAACATACACTTTACATTTTCTATGTACACTCCACATTTTCTACACATCCCACATTCTTCAAATCTTATAATATTCATTTTTAATTTTTATAAATTAAATCGACTTTGGAGTAAAACTATAACATCATGTGTGATTGATGTGGAGAGAAGAAAATAGTCACTTGAGTGGCGCCAATTGAACGGAATGAGTTATATTGCAGTAATTAACCATTGAATGGAATAAGTTATGTTACAGTAATTCATCATAGAAAATAGTGAGAACTTCTTAAGAGATAAGCCTTCAGATAATCGGGTTTCTGGGAATTGTAAATAAATATTAAGCTTAAATCAATTAATAATAGGCTTGGGTGGTATTGTTTCTTGGGAAATCACAAGCAGATATGTGGGACTAATCTCCTTTGAAATCAAAATCAGAGAATAAAATAATGCAGATAGTTTGGTTAGGATTTTGTTTAATAATGAATAGTGAGAGGTTTTGATAGTTGAAAAAGATAAATATTAGGTTAAAAGTGATTTGGGGTGTGTTTAGAAAATTTTTATTTTTTATAAAACCTAATAAGATCGAAATTATCATTGCATAATATGATACATAAATCATTTAATATTAAATTTTAATGTCGAATGTGCGTTCAACTTTTTGTAGAATGTCAATAAAAAAATCCATATAAGAAGAGGAAATTTTATTTATTATTATTTTTTACATATTTAATTTGGCAAGTGGAGGCTCGGATGGGAAGAGAAAACCCCAAAACACAAGGCATTCCATTTCCCTTCACATTTTTCGAATTTTGTCTTCCGTTTATTTCCTTCCTCCGCACTTCCACGGTTTCTCCTCTCACCAAAAATAAAAACCAAAAATCTCTCCCTTCTCTTCTCTCTCTCACAAAATCCACTTCCTAACGTAACACAAGAAGCAGAAGCAGAAAGCAGAAGCAGAAAGCAGGAAGCAGCAGTTAATCAGATACCTCAAAAACCATTCTATCTCTCTTTTTTTGGTTTAATTTGTCTCTTTCTCTCTCTTCCTCCTGTGCGCGATCAAAGATCTGTTGCTGAAAAGTAAGTCTTCGACGGTTGCTTGAGGCAAATGGCTGTTTTTTTGTTTTAATTTTTTTAATTCTCTGTATTTTTCTGATTTGCGATTTTTGTTTTTGACAGGGATGAAGAGAGTAAGAGATGATGTGTTCGGCGGCGCTCAATTGAAGCGGCCCTCCGGTTCGTCGCGCGGGGACTCGTAAGTCTCGTGATTTATTCATCACTCTTCAATTGCATGATTTGCTTTATGTTTTGTTTGGTTTGTGAGAATTTAATTTTGCCCGTGTCAGTGTATCGGTGCGCGATTTCGGTTCTCTTGCCCTTGATTGTTAATATTAGTGTAATTTGATCGTTGTTGTCGAATTGCGTCGTAGTTTTGTACCTGCTGTGGATTGGATTGGTTGTGCTTGATCGTGAAATTTCTTCAATTTGTTTAGGGTTTGTTGTTTGTTAGAGTTGAATTGAGTAGTAATGCGGTTTTTAGAGGTAAAGTTGAGAGCTTTCTGAAAATTTTGTTAGGTATGTTGTTTTCAGCGGATACGATATGCTTTTAGGAAGACTAAATCTTCTGATGAATGTTAATATAGTTTTATGTTTGGGGCTTAAGATCAATGCGGTAGATGCAGTGTTGATGAAAATAGTACCGGAGAATGATGATTATCTTTGTTTTCTGGAAGTACGTTCTCTTTGGTTGTTGCAGCTAATTGGATTTAGAAAAAAAGTTATCAGGAGCATATGCGTAAGAGGAAGGAGTAATTATGCTTGGGTTTATGATGTTTCATGAATTTGACAGTATTTATTTTATGTTGAATTGATGATCATTTTCTGGATGTGGGGCAACAGGCAATCCCAGATACCAGGGGGAGGAGGTGGAGGAGGGGGCGTTGGAGTAGGTGGAGGTGGGCCGATTGGAGGAGTAGGAGGTGCTTCACAGAAATTGACCACCAATGATGCTCTAACCTATCTCAAAGAAGTGAAGGACATGTTTCTAGACCAAAGAGAAAAATACGATACATTTCTTGAGGTCATGAAAGATTTCAAGGCTCAAAGGTATCTGAATGTACCCATTATTATTCTTTTTTCCACTTGTAATTCCTCCTAGTTGATTTTTCAGCTGATGGATTCTGTTTTTGTCTATTTCAGAACCGACACAGCAGGTGTCATTGCAAGAGTAAAGGAATTATTTAAAGGGCATAACAACTTAATTTTGGGCTTTAATACCTTCTTGCCGAAGGGTTATGAGATAACCCTTGATGAAGATGAGACTCCACCAAAAAAGACAGTTGAGTTTGAGGAAGCTATCAGCTTTGTAAACAAGATAAAGGTGAATATGCTTAATTTTATCCTAATCACAAGTGTAAACATTTATTATTTTCTGTTTGATTGATGGAGTTCTGTCCTACAGAAACGTTTCCAAAATGATGATCATGTCTATAAATCATTCCTGGACATACTAAACATGTATCGAAAGGAGCACAAGGATATAAATGAAGTTTACAGTGAGGTAAATATACACAATTTTTCACATTTGGTGTTCGATGATGAAGTATTGGCTGTTACAAGCTATTTCTATTTATTTTAGAAAATATTCCTCCCTACGTTCTTAGTAATTTAAATTAATTTCCAGGTTGCTGCTCTTTTTGATGAGCATCCAGATTTGCTTGATGAGTTCACCAGATTTTTACCAGATGCATCAGCAGCAGCTTCAGCACATCAAGCTCAATACGGCCACAATTCATTTCCCCGTTTCAATGAGCGAAGCTCTGCTACACCCACATTTCGGCCAATGCATATGGAGAAGGTAATTACAAAATTCTTTCTATTATGATTTTAACGGTTTCTTGTTTAAGTTAGTGATTTGTAATGGGGTGCTGGTCTCTTTTCACAGCAACGTAGGAGGGATAGGATCATGACACCCCATGCTGATCGCGATCTTAGTGTTGATCGTCCTGAGCTCGACGATGACAAAGGAATGGTGAAAGTTCCGAAGGAGCACAGAAAGCGTAGTGAAAAGGAGAATAGGGATAGAAGAAATCGGGATGATGATGATAGAGAATTAGAGAATGATAACAATAGGGACTACAAATTACAGCGTTTTCCTGACAAAAGAAAACCCTCCAGGAAGGTTGAAGGTTTTGGTGTGACTGCTAACTTCGCTCCTTATGATGACAAAGACTCCTTAAAGAGTGAGTTTATGATGGAACTGTTTCAGTTATATACATTCATGGACCTTAAATGTGTTGCATTTAGGTAGTGTTGTTTTATTCTCTGGTTTGTTAAATGGAATAAGCAGTTGTAATTTGTTTTGAGATTACAATATCCGTGTTTGTCAACATTGATACGATTTTAGGTTATGGAACTAACGAAAATGCACTTTGCTTGATTAGTTTTAGCGTTAGTGTAAATTCTACCAGGAGAAAGAGACGCAATTTCTGGTACTTGGTCTAAAAGTCTGTCGTTAGAGATGTGTTAATTGAATATTCATTTAATCCACAATGTGCCTTGTTTAGCCGTTCAGTATTAGGAAAACCTGAACTTTTTGTATCACATTACTTGATTTTGAAATCCTTGGGAAATGGATGCAGCTTTTTTGGCTTACATTCATCATTTTTGGGAACTTCATTGTTGTTTTTTAAAGATCTATAGTTTCAGTTCTTGTGTTATTACTTCAGTGTTGCTTATGGTCTCTCATTTTTATGTCAGGCATGTACAGCCAGGGATTCATTTTCTGTGAGAAGGTGAAGGAGAGGTTGTGTAGTCAAGATGACTACCAGGCATTTTTGAAGTTGCTTAACATTTATAGCAACGGAATTATTAAAAGGAATGATCTGCAAGGTTTGGTACGTGCTACTCCATGTTCAGCAGTTAGTCAACACTTCTTAAGTCGAGCATTGTGTGCTTTCTCTTTGAGCCAGGGGAAACTGGACGAAGGACACTTCTTGATAACCACATATTTATCTATCTATTCTATGAACTTCCTTAAAAAATGCTATTGCCTCTAGTTTGACTTTTTCCATTAAACTTTGCCCATCTCAGGTGACTGATTTATTGGGAAAGTATTCAGATCTTATGGAGGAGTTTAATGATTTTTTGGAGCGTTGCGAGAATATAGGTAACTAAAAAAAATGCCATCAATTTTGAGCTGCTTTCTTGTGCGTTGTCATCTTTTAAATTGTATCTGATGGTATTTGTCCTTGGCACTTGCAGATGGGTTCCTTGCTGGTGTTATGAGTAGAAGTATGTGTATTAGTCCTCCATTGGTCTCTTTTTCATAGGATACTAAGTTATCAGTTTCTGTACTATCTGCATTTGGAAGAACAATTAATCTTCCGCATTTCATAATTTGAGCTATCATATGGTTTCTCATTTCTCTGGAATTTTTGCTTGCTTCTGTAATTAGAGAATCCTGACTGGTAGACTGTTGATTGCAGAATCTCTGAGTAGTGATGGTCCTGTTCCTTCATCTAGATCGCTGAAGGTAGAGGACAAAGATAAAGAGCCAAAGCGTGAAATGGAGGGAGCTAAAGAAAAGGAAAGATACAGGGAGAAGTATTGGGCAAAATCTATTCAAGAGCTTGACCTCTCTAACTGTGAACGTTGTACTCCAAGCTATCGGCTTCTGCCTGAAGACGTACGACTTAACATTCTGTACTTAATTTAGTAACATTGTCTGATGCTCAACTTATTGTTGCTTGTCACCTTGCAGTATCCAATACCTTCAGCAAGCCAGAGATCAGAACTTGGTGCTCAGGTTCTGAATGACCATTGGGTATCTGTGACTTCAGGAAGTGAAGATTACTCTTTCAAACATATGCGCAGAAATCAGTATGAAGAAAGTCTGTTCAGATGTGAGGATGATAGGTAATGTTAAGGCTGTTGAGTATCATTTTTACTTTTGGTGTACAAGTGTGCTTGCATGATCGTATGGATGGATAGAGGTCCCAGTAGGTTCTGCGGATCACTATTGAATCATTGATATAATAGCATTTCCTTTACAGCACATGCTAGTTCATTATTGATAACTTATGTTGGCTTTCATTTTGGAAAGTTTAGGTTTGAGTTGGATATGTTGTTAGAGTCGGTGAGCTCAACTGCTAAGCGAGCAGAGGAACTCTTGAACAGCATCAACGAAAATAAGATCAGCATGGAAACTGGAATCCGTATTGAAGACCACTTCACTGGTCTGTATCTGTAAACTGATTGAGAAGCAATTAAATGTCAAGTATCTATTCTGGTATTTGAGCTTTTTTAACTGCATTGACCTTTGTCATTTATTTGTTTTATTGCAGCTTTAAACTTAAGGTGCATTGAACGTTTATATGGTGACCATGGTCTTGATGTGATGGACATACTGCGGAAAAATCCAACTCTGGCTTTGCCTGTTGTATTAACTCGCCTGAAGCAGAAACAAGATGAATGGACAAGGTGTAGATCTGATTTTAACAAGGTTTGGGCAGATATATATGCCAAAAACCATTACAAATCACTTGATCACCGGAGCTTCTATTTCAAGCAACAAGATTCCAAGAACTTGAGTAGCAAATGTAAGTTTTTATTATTGAAGATTAGTTTATTAGTTCCTTGAGCACTTATCTCTATATCGGTCTTTTATAATTGTTTCTCCTTGCCGATTCTGACTCCTATTGATTGACAGCTTTGGTGGCTGAGATCAAGGAATTGAAAGAGAAAAAGCAGATAGAGGATGATATCCTTCTGGCTGTTGCTGCTGGAAACAGGCAATCTATAGTTCCACATATGGAGTATGAATACTTAGATATGAGCTTACATGAAGACTTGTATAAACTTGTCCAATATTCATGTGAAGAGGTTTTCTCAACGAAAGAACAATTAAATAAGGCTATGAGACTTTACACTACCATTTTGGAGCCAATGTTGGGTGTTTCTTCTCGACCCAACGATTCAGAGGATGATGAAGATGTCGACAAAAGTAGGAATCAGGCTAAGAATTGTACTGCATCGAGCATAGGAGAAAGCGATGGAAGTCCTGGTGGCGATTCTGCCACAGTAAATCTTAAGCAGCCCAAATCTGTGTGTAATGAAGAAGGAAATGCTTTAGCAGAAGTTGAAAGTTTGGCTAATGGGGATAACTCAGCTAAAGAAGATGGAAGTCGTGATGCACATCCTGTCTCTAGGAAAGATTCCACATCTGAGAAACTTCAACTAGAGAGAGACCAGAAGAGTACAGATGTCCCTAAGAAAAGGTGTCTGGTCACCAACACAGACAATGCATGGCCGTCCAGTCAACCATCACATCCAATTGGAGCAGATAATAATCATGGTAGAACGAGCTTGGAAGTGTTATCAGGTCTGTTATTCGGAATTTGATTTTTATTTTCCTGTAATGGCAACTTACTCGAATGTTATAATTTATTTTACTCTCTGGAGTTACAATAATGCTAGAATACTGTGAATTTTTTTGAATTGAAGGGTGTGTTGCAACCACGTCAAGGGCTGGTGCCTCTATTAGTGGCAATGACCCTTTACAGCAAGGAAATGCTGATGCTGTTCCGTCATCAGAGGTATGAGTCTGGATTCTAGAATAGTCATCTGTGATGGCTTTTGTTTTTTTTTTTTTTTTTTTAATTTTAATTTTTTAATTTGATCATATGGTTTTGGCAACACGTACTGATGTACTGTTTGGTGCTTCAGGGTGGTGATATTGCAAAACCTGCTTTAAATGCTAATGGAGTATTTCCAGAAAGCACTATAGTTAAAAGTCATCATGAAGAGTCTCTTGGGCCCTCCAAAATTGAAAAGGAAGAGGGGGAATTATCACCAATTGCTGACTTTGGGGAGGATAACTTTGTTGTCCCTGGAGATGCTGGGGTGCAAGCTCTGCCTAAGGCAAACCGCAGTATTGAAAGTAGACCGTTTCAGTCTGGGAATAGGGAAGACATTAGTGGTCGGGAAGCTGGAGACAATGATGCAGATGCAGATGATGAAAACAGCGAAAATGTTTCCGAGGCTGGTGAAGATGTCTCTGGCAGTGAGACAGCTGGTGATGAATGTTCCCGAGATGAGCAAGGTGATGAAGATGCTGAACAAGATGACATTGATGGTAAGGCTGAGAGCGAAGGTGAGGCTGAAGGGATGGCTGATGGACATCTTGTTGGAGGAGATGGAATGTGTTCGCCGTTGTCCGAATGTTTTCTTTTATCTGTGAAACCTCTTGCGAAGCATGTACCAGGTTCTTTACTTGAAGAAAGGAAAGACTCTCGTGTTTTCTATGGGAATGATAATTTCTATGTGCTTTATAGGCTTCATCAAGTAAGAGACCTTTTGATTAATTTTTGGAGTTTGTTTGTCTTTATTTTCTGCCGGATATAAGCTTGACTTATTTGAATATGCAGGTTCTATATGAAAGGATTTTATCTGCAAAAACAAGTTCCACAGGTGCAGAAATGAAATGGAGAACTTTGAAGGATGGCAGCTCTCCGGATCTGTATGACAGGTATTTTTCTGGCCATTTTCTCTTTTGTATAGATAATAGATTAGAACTGTGGCAACTGTTCAAAGCAATTTTAATCACATGCACTATATTTATTCATCTGTTATGCAGATTTATGAGTGCTCTATACAATTTGCTTGATGGATCTGTTGATAACGCAAAATTTGAGGATGAATGCCGAGCCATTATTGGAAACCAGTCATATATATTATTCACCTTGGACAAATTAATATATAAATTCGTCAAACAGGTTTGCTCACTAGAAATTTTGTACTTTTAACAAAAAAAAAAAGGGAATTTTTTTCTGTGTGTTTGCTTTTTCTGCCAAGTTTCTGATTAGTGGTTATTTATGCAGCTTCAAACTGTTGCAAGTGATGAGACTGACAATAAGCTGCTTCAATTATATGAATATGAAAAGTCCCGGAAAACTGGGAAGTTAATTGATTCTGTTTACCATGAAAACGCACGTGTCCTCATTCATGAGGAGAATATTTACAGATTGGAGTTTGTAAGTTCTTTTGACACTTGCCCATTTATTTGACCATAACCTACCTTTTTTAATATACTTTCTTATTTTTAATTTTGTTTGTGCAGTCCTCTGCCCCCTCCCGACTGTCCATCCAGCTGATGGACAGTGTGAGTGAAAAGCCCGAGGTGTTTGCAGTTTCTATGGAACCGAATTTTGCATCCTATCTGCACAATGAATTTCTGCCGGTTTTTCCTGGAAAAAAGGAGCCGCATGGGATTACCCTTCAGAGGTGATAATGCACTCTTTGGATTTTACATTACATTAGAGGGTAACAGTAGGACTCTAGGCTCACACTGTAAGTGAACACTGGCACCTTACATGGTTTAGGACATCTTTCTGTGCCCATACCGAGGCTATAAGAATTAAATTAATGTTAAAAGTGCTAGAATTGCTATACTTCTCTGAAGAAACATGATAGACACTGAAATACGGGATCATTCAATGGATTTAGTTCCTTCCTTTCTTTTGGCAAGAAAAGTTATGTGTAAATCCTCTCACAATGTTATTTTATATTACTAATTAGATGAAGCCTGCACAGTGTGTGTAAATATAAAATATTTAAAAGGAATAAAATTATACGGGAGAGAGAAGTTTGAGAGGGAGAGAGAGCGTAGAAGAGGCTTAAATTGTTAAAATTTAAAATTAGAGATGTTGTGATGACATATGGGAGAGGGAAGGGGAAAAAACAGCAAAATTTGTTTTGTTTGAAAGTACATTACTCATGATTTTATTTTGTGATCGAAGACCAAATTGTCTTTTCACCCTCTTGGTTGACAGAGGGTTTTGTTAAGAGGTAGTTTAGATTAGTCGTATACAGCAACTCAGGTTACCTTGTGGTATATAATGAGCCAAAGGTTTCCAGAATGTTTATGTTTGTTAATGGCTAACTTGCTGATTCAATCCGTTTTTGCAGAAACAAGCGCAAATATGCAGGGCAAGATGAATCCTCTGCCTTTTGCAGGGCCATGGATGGTGTTCAGTTAGTCAATGGTTTGGAGTGCAAGATAGCTTGCAACTCATCCAAGGTATCTCGCCCCCGTATGTATTTCTTATCTTCGGCATGCCATCAGTTTTACCTTATTTACAATATAAGCACAGCTGGAAGCTGGAGAAATACTAGCTATATATATATATATATTATATAATGCAATTTTTGTCCATGGAGTTTTGTTCATCAAAGTATCATGTGGCAGATCTCTTACGTTCTTGACACAGAAGATTACTTCTTCCGTATGAGAAGGAAAAGGAGAACATCTGAGGCCAGATCACCGAATTGTGATCAGACGAGAGTACAGCGGTTCCACAAATTCTTATCAGTCTCATCATAGCTTAGAAGGAAATTCCTTTGAGATTGGGAAGCTAAAGGTACAGACGAGATAAACTTTTTGAAAACTCTTGACATGCCCTTTTTCCGTATATTCCACTGCCCCAAGTTTTGAGAACAAGAGTAACCAATGCTTTCTTGCAATAGGAGTCATCTACTCGATTTCTGAGACTGGAGAAGGATGATGGCGGTCCTGGACACGTAGAGCATGTCCGGGTCAGGAGATCGGCCTAGGAGCCATTGTTGTGTATATAAGGTTGGTGTATGATAATTTCGTAGAAAAAGGTATTTAAGTTATAGTTCTTGATCTTTGTCATAGATAGGATATTTTCTTCCCCACTTCCATAAGCACACTTAGTGTAACAAATTGATCAAATAGCAGAAAAGCGCGCGTGTTTTAACAGATCCCGAGCCTTCTTTGCGGTCTCATACCAGCATTTTGCAGGCATTACTGCATCATTGTTCTTTTCCACCGTAAGATTATGTTAGTTTTATACAACAGATTCTTTAAATTTCAGTGTAAAGTAGTGTGATAAGATATCCATCTGTAATAGTTTACAACTGTTCGCGTTCTTCGTCGAGAACTCTTTTTGCTCTGGAAAATTGATCTCGCATGTGGTATTTTTATGCTTCTGTTCTATATACGCTGTTGTGGGGTAGACATAATTTGCGCATATTTTTTTAAGGAAAACTAATGAAAATGATTTGAAAACTATGACTTTTAATGATGAGGACAAAATAAAGGGTAAAGTGAACAGTATCATGATTGGTTTTTTAGTGTAAAAATATGGTTTTTTCGTTAAAGTAAACAGTACGGGAAGTTTTTCGTTAAAGTTTTCTATTTTTTTCCCAAGTAATTATTAGAAAGACTTTTGAGTTGGATATCACCGGAACTATTTCTGCGCCCCATATTTTCTCCATCGTACAACTCTGTTTACTTTCAGATTCAATTACATAGGACGAAAATAAACGGTGTGAAAGATGGAGAAAAGTAATGTGCGAAAATGATTTTCTTAACGTGTGGAGATTGGATCGAAAAAAGTTCAAGGGAGATTCAAGACCAAGAAGGAAGAAGTAAACGCTGAATCTAGGTAACAAAGTTAGAACGGACCGGGGCCCACAGACCTGGATTAGCTTGCTCGGAAAGTGGGCCGGAGCGGGTTGAATCGGGCTAGCTTGGATAACGGGCCGTCACGTGGTTCTCCGATGTGGAAGTGTAACGGACTCGTCGATTGGGAATTTGGGATCCACTTTCTGCATGTCGAGTTGCCGACTTTCTCACGCCACTCGTGGCTTGAGCTCCGACAGCAGTAACAAGAAGCTGCAGCCGGTAATTACTGAAATGCCCTTGGCTCGTTTAAATATCAACAATTAATTAATTTGTTTCAAAGAGCATAAAAAAAAAAATAATAAAAAAATATATATATATATATATTTCAAATTGAATTTTTAAAAATTCTTATAACAAGGGAAGAATTTTAGAATGCCCTTCTTTTATGATCTTTGGACTTTCCATTTGTTAGCTTCAATAATTTTTAAGGGTAGTGCTATTTACACTCATTTTTATCTTTCAAATACTTTTTTCAATTTTTGGCCGTCAAATCAACTGCATTGAAGAAGATCAACGAACAAAATTAACAAGAGTGCGTGAGAGATAAAAAATAGTGAAAATCACTACCCATTTGGCTTTTTGTGGAAGTGAACTTGAACCCACCATGTCTATAGCGAACAACACTATGTGACACAAATTGATGCCCTTAAAGGCGGGAAGGACTTACATACACTTATCCGGATGTCACTAGCGTTCTAGACTAATAGCACAATGGCATGTTCCCGAAGGACCTCTCCTAAACAATGTTTCATTACAGTCAATCTTTGTCATCTTGACTTGCAAACACATTTCAAGTTTCCTGGGAGTAGACATTCCCTGCACCTAGGATGCCTCGATGGCAGTTTTATCAACCCAATTACGCAGCGCTGTGTACCATATATGTTTGTCTTGAAATATCATTATTGTGGCATCAAGATAAATTTGCATGTTTATCTAGTATGAACCGACTCATAACATGCCTCAGAATCTACAGACGACGAAGTCTTAGCGAATGATCCAACATGTACATTCTAGAATTTCCAATTTTTGCGTGTCAAAATTAGATTGAATTATTCAATATGTAATGTGGACCTGCCAGATGGGATGTATGGTGCTAAGGCATTGTGGTGACGACAGCCAGGTGGCTGCCGTTTTCTCCTCATCTGTCCATGTGATTTGTTAACATCTTGGAAAATTAAGAAGTCAAGTTGGTTTATTCTTTTGTTTTTTTTCTTCATTTTTCAATAAAAAAAAAATGATATCTTGGCTGTGACAAATCTTGGTTTCAAATCTAGTCAATTATTTGTTAATAACTTAACATAAATAGTTATTAAATACGTATTTGTACACATTATAGTACAAATGACATAGATCGAAGAATAACTTGTCGTACTAATAATGAATGTCATATTAAAAGGAGATACAAGCCCACAAACATAGAACCATTTTTGACTCTCTTTACTTTTTTTTTCATTTTAAAAAGAGGATGTATTTTGCTCACCGCACTCAAGTGAAGATAATATTCACACCCTACTTATTATTGTTGGTTGAGTTTAAGTTTAGATATTTGTGTTTATTTACTACACAGAATTCAAAATTTAAACTCATTTAACAGTTATAAATAGGGCAGTGAGCATGACTAATCACTTTAGGATGGTAATCATCTAACAGTCATAAATAAGTCAGTAAGCCTGACTAATCACTTTAGGATGGTAAACAAAAACATTTCCTTAAGGAGAAATGCTAAGGAGACTCTTTGATAAGTGAGACTTTTTATGAACTTTCTGGCACCTCGTGTTTTTTGTATAATTTTTTATAATGTTTGGCACATAAAGTGATATTAAACTATGAGGTAGCGAAAAATCTATAAATAGTTTCGCTTTAAAAGAGTTATCTTAGCATTTCTCTTCCCTAAAAGAAGACCAAATGATATGTTGTTAATAAAAAATGAACAAATTTATCACCACTTAAATAATAATATTATTATATACTTTCATGTCGTTACCAAATTTTATCAACGAATTTAATTTCTCTCGCGTTACTCTAATTATTTTGGTTAAAATAAGGTACGTTCATGGAATGTGGTCAATATTAATGATATTCCAAGCTGTTCAAAGCACATGGCCACATGGCTTCATCCGCTGGACAGAACCGAACCTCCAATGGGAAACCATATTAAAATAATATTCAAACAACCCGAAAGCAGCATGAAAGTTCCCCCTGCACCAAACCAAATATGTTAATTTGCATAACAGTCCTCTCAATTTACCTGAAATTTTACCTTTTTCTTTAACTTGTTTTATTTTTTTCACTTTAGTCCATCTAGGTCTTTTTTATTTCTAATTTAGACATGTTTGTTATTGCTTTCGCAAAGTCTAAAAGTGGTTTCTTGCACCCAAAAACGCTTACGAATTTGTTTAGCAGTTTCACTTGAAAGAGCTTATCGGTCTTAAACTTGCTTTTTAGCCTAATGCTTTTTAAAGTAGCACTTCCAAGTCCTACATAAGCCCAACACGTAAAAACCTGCAAGGCGAACAACATAGAGGTAGCTTTTTGCTTTTTATCACAGGCCACACTACTTCGACGAAATGTACATGACTTTTTAGTACTTTAGTTCCTACATTAGAAATTATATTATAGGTACTGTTTGGTACGTAGGACGGGATGAAACAGAATGGGACAAGGCGTTCCGTTTCACGTTTGGTGCGCCTAAAACGGGTGGAACGAGCTGTTCCACGGGACAAGTTTTGGGTGAATTTTCGTTCCACCTCATCCCCCTGGAACGACTCGTTCCACATCCGTGGAACACAAAATTATAACATCTCCGTCTCCTTCTTCTTCCTCCTTGTTTCCATCCGAGGGCATCTTTACTCCCGCTATGTTCCGTTCCGTCCTATCCCGTTCCGTCCCATTCCGTTCCGTCCCGTCTGCATACCAAATGATACCTAGGATCCTTTTGCAGACAATATTTCTTTAAGGACTCGAATATTCCTTTAAAGTCCTTAAATGAGCTCTCATTTAGAGTCCCTAAATAGAGTCTCATTGAAGATGCTTTTATACCGGAAGAAATTCGGCCTCATCGCAAGATTGGAACGATACAAACGAAATGAACATACAAGGATTAACACGAAAGAAAAACAAACTATCAGAGCAAAAATGAAAACTCAACTAACCTACGGGACTGTTAGTGTAATTTTTTATTTTGGCCCCAACTATTCTTGCAATTTACGCAAAGCACCCAAATATTACAGACGCGTTTTCTGCTACGCCCCCACAAAATACTAGTACCAAAAAGACGTGTTTTCTCCGTCTTGGGTTTTTCTTTGACCATTTCACTTACAAATACTCCTTCCTCTCTCCTCCTCTCCATCTCCATTCCCGACGATGCTTCTCCTTAAACCCATTTCTCTCCCCCTCCTCCTCCTCCTCTCCCTCGTTCTCATTCCGGCAACCGCAATCCGATCATTCCCGGACCCGCAAACCGGAAAGGAAAAAGGATTCATCATGGATTTCTCAGAAGCTCCGGAATACACGAACGGAATCAGCTGCCCTGTTCTTCTGGGCTCCAACGACAGAGCAGGAAAGGAGGTTTGCGATTCCTCCCTCGTCCACGTCGCGATGACGATCGATTCCGAGTACTTGCGCGGCACCATTGCCGCCGTCCACTCTGTTTTCAAGCACGCTTCCTGCCCGGAAAACACATTCTTCCACTTCGTCGCCTCCGACTCCAGCGCCGTCGATTCCCACCACCTCTCCCGCATTCTGAAATCGACTTTTCCGTCGCTTAATTTCCGAGTCTATGTGTTCAGAGAGAGCTTGGTGAGTCATCTGATTTCGTCTTCGATTCGACGAGCTCTCGAGAACCCATTGAACTACGCGCGGAGCTACTTAGCTGATTTGCTCGACCCCTGCGTCGAACGCGTGATTTATCTCGACTCCGACGTCGTTGTTGTCGACGATATCCAGAAGTTATGGGAGATTACCTTATCGGGGTCGAGAGTGATCGGAGCTCCGGAGTACTGCCACGCGAATTTCACCAAGTATTTCTCCGACGAATTCTGGAAAGATTCCGAGCTCTCCAAGGTGTTCGACCGAAAGCGCCCGTGCTATTTCAACACCGGCGTGATGGTGATCGACTTGGCGAGATGGAGAGCCGGAGGGTTCACGAGAAAGATCGAGACTTGGATGGAGATTCAGAAGGAGAAGAGGATTTACGAGCTGGGTTCTCTTCCGCCGTTTCTACTGGTTTTCGGCGGCGACGTGGAGGCGATTCACCACCGGTGGAACCAGCACGGCCTGGGCGGCGATAATTTGATGAACAGTTGCAGGTCTCTGCATCCGGGTCCGGTGAGTTTGCTGCATTGGAGCGGGAGAGGGAAGCCATGGACGCGGCTGGATTTGGGAATGCCTTGCCCTGTCGATCTTCTGTGGGCCCCTTACGATCTCTACAAACACCATCAAAGTCAGCTTCAGGATCTGCATCTTCTTCAACATCACCACCATCAACAATTTTTGATGTTGTAGCATTAATTAGCACAGGATTATTTGTTTGATTATTTATTTAATTTTTTACAGAAATTCGTTGATAAATAGGAGGAAATATTATTTTTACCGGATGTAAATAGGGAGGGAGATTTGAACAGAGTGAAGAGTTTGGAACATATTGTTCCATTTTAGCCAATTTAATTAATTTTTTTTCCCAAGTTGGTCTTAAATTATTTTTGTGTCTATTTCTCCGGAAAGGATCCTCGTGGATCCCTTTTACCTAATTCTCTTCATCAAACAATCCGAACTTTTAAAATTTGATCAAACTGCTAAAAATACGGGTCCACTCTAAAAGTTATAACAACTTAAACCGTTAGATCAAATTTTAAGAGCCCAGATTGTTTGATAAGAATGATTAGGTGGAAAGAATCTAAAGATGATCACTTGATGAGAATGATTAGGTGGAAAGAATCCGGAGTCGATCGCTTTCCTATTTCTCTGATGTGTTTGTCCAGGAACATCCTGGTTGGGTAGAAATATAAAACTCAGAAGTAATCATTATATGTGACGAGTCAAGATCCTCTCCTAATCACTGTCTTCAGAGCTTAAGGATCCAGAGGTTCGAGCAGTTGAGAAGAGAGAGAGATCCGAATCCTAGGTGGTTTCTGTAAGATGAATTTAAAATGAGTAGTGCGGATGTCTGAATTGTCACGAAATAATGGCAACAAGAAGAATTTGGCTATGCCAGCAGGAGTGTTGGTTGCTTATTTTTTCATCTATATACACTTGTAAAATCGAATACAATTTCAAATGTGTACGACAGGTTAGCTTATGTAGATCACGAATCCTCTTTGATTGTGAATCACGATGAAAGAGGTCGGAAGAAGCGTAATTATTGCGGTATTCCGTAAAACGCTTTCATTTGAAAGAAGAAGAATAATACAGATGAACTTGAAGAAGAAAAAAGGTTGATATAGACGAACGCGAAGGATGTACACGCCTCCCACTTTCCTCTCTTCACAATAATCCAACAACGCAACTCAAATGTAATCGGTTCTCCAACCCTCTTAAATGATGGCCTAACAACATACACCTGCCACAACAAGTATACGAACCTTCAGATTTCAATCGCTAATGGAATCGGTTCAGCTAGTAAGATATCATAAAAAGTCTGGCGTATTTATTTGCCTCTACGACTCTACGTGAACACGGGACGGTTCCCAGAAGTGACTTAATGCAAAGCGACAAGCAAGAAAAACAAAGCATTTAAGGAGGACTATGACAGGAGTCTAACCAGAAAAGCAGCTTCGCTAGGTAATCTCGTGAAGTTCCAATGGTGTCAAGTTCGCCATCAGCATCTAGGCCATTCTCGCTGTCCCCTGTCACCAAATCTTCCACAAAGTCTGAGGAAGTACCGTCTTTGAAGAATCGCTGCAATATATTTTGAACAAGCTGGTGTATAATTTCCTCCACCTCAAATGATGACGGTCTAGATAGTTCAGTCACCTGTTAAAACAAATCATCATACCATCATCAGAAAAGATGGGACTCGTAAAAATTGCAACTCCATCGCAGAGTAGGATAATTACCATATCAGAATCTAGAGACCGTAGATACTCTAATAAATCGTTCCTAGGTCCTCTGTCATATTCTAATTGCATATTTTCCTGCTTTTGCGCCTTCAGTTCCTGAAAAAAGCAAAGTATGTCATTCCCACACTCTGCTTAAAACAATGCACAATCCTTCAAGCATTTAACTTCAACATCGAATTAAGCTCAAAAGCACAAAACTTGAGCATCATTACACCATCATCACCATAATAAGGTATTACACGATCAACAACACTACCAATCTCACCACCATATTACTGTGAAATCAAACTAAACGGGTCTTAATGGTTACGCATTAACAACCCGATGGGTTGATTTTCCACCTCCGTATTTAACATTGATACAAGACACACGCATGAAAATAAAAACGTTCATAAACTAAAACTCGGAAGATTGTAAACCAGAAAAAACCAAGCTTTGATCTTGCTTTCAAAAGAATCAAAACTAAAAAACACGCTGTTGAACTAGAATTTTCAACCATTCCAGCTCCATTCGAAGAAAAGCACTAGTAATTGTGGAAATGAACAAGATAGAAAATTCACAGAGCAAATGCTCACCTCCTTCACATTTGTCAACTCTGATTCCAACCTCTGGATACAATTCAAAGCCTCCGGAGGCAAATCGCCGAAAACATGGGGAGTCGCTGAATCCAAGAGCTCGCTACTCACCCCGATACCATTTCCATCATCCCTTTCCTCACTCTCCACCCTATCTGACACCCCATCGATCTCCGACCGATCCAACGGCACAGAATTCTCCGTGGATTTGTCGAAATTCCTCATCAACGATATCCGATACTCCGCGTTCCACAGTGTATATCTAATTGATAAGATAAATCCCAAAACAATTTTACTCTAATTAATACAATTACGCGCTGAATTTACTGAAATTTGAAGAAAGGGGATAGAAATGTGAATTATTACCCGGTGATTATGGAGGATGCGAGGAGGCGATGGAGCGGGGCTTTGGAAACCCTAATGGTGACGGAGAACTGATCGGACGGGAGCAACCCCAGCATAGTAGAAATGGTCTGCTTCATGGAGTCCCTGGCGGAATCCGTAACGCCCTTGGAGATAACGGAGGTGTCGAGGGGCTCAATTTTCTTGAGCATGTTAGCAATCACGGAGAAACCGCGGTCGAAGCCGGATTTCCGAGTAGAGACGAACTCGTCCGACACGCCGCCGCCGTCGACGCCGGAGATGAGGCATCGGACGGCGGAAGTCGAGCTGGCGAATAAACGACGCCGTCGGAAGGAGGAGGGGAGTAAGGGGCGGACGAGGAGGTGGCCGGAAATCGGGGGCGGCGGCTTGGAAGGCTTGAGAGACAGGTCAGTGAAGCGGGAGAGAATGACGGCGCGAGCTGTCGCCGCCATGGACGAACTGGTTATTTGTTGGAAGCTCTCTCGGCCTCTCTCACTCTGTGGCTTGCGCGTCCTGGGAATCTTTTATCTTCGCAATTTTCAATTTTGTTTGCTTTTGTAACTTGCGCGATGAGATTGACCTGCGTTTTGAGTCAAATTACAGATTCACCACTCGACCAAACGCTTTGGGTGGACAGGGTCCCAGGAGAATAGTAGTTAGACGAGTACCGAATGAAAACGAGTACAATTTTGTTGTTGGATTTTTGTGTATTAATTTTCAATAAAAAAAAAAATTGGCTTTTTAGCAATTTTGGTGTATGAGATTTAAAATCGATAGAACTGGTTTTTGAGATTGTTCACGGACAATCATTTAGTCATTTTGTAAAAAAATTTCGTTAAATTGGAGAAACCACCAATTTAAATAGAGGGATTGATATGACAAAAGTAGTCTCAATTTAATTGAGATTTTTTACAAAATTACTAAAATGATTGACAGTAGACAAGTCAGAGTACACTTTTATCAATTTTAAATTTCAGAGACTAAAGTCTGAAGTTATATTTGGATAAAAAGCCACAAAAGTTAGGGAAGTGTTATTAGCACTCCAAAAATCTCATTCTACATTCCTTACAAGTGTATTTTTATTTTCAAATATAGAAAGTTTGAAGTGTAGAATAAGATTTTTGGAATGACAATAACAATTTCCAAAATTTAATTACTATTTGCAACATGAGATTAAGAAATTGCAATTAATATAATCGAGTGAGTTGGCAATTTGCGATTGGACCAAGTATCTAGTTAGGAAAAGTAGAGGAGAAAAAGAATTTGGTTACTACGACCTCTTCTCTTTATTTTTCTTCTTCTTTGTATATTTTTACTTAAAAAAAAAAAAAAAAAAAAAACATAAGTTCTGGAACACTTTGCGTTTGTTTATGCAACTCTCAAACCAGTTTAAGCTTCGTTATTGTCTTATTAATATAATTCTCGCATCAAATAGAACGAATGTAGAATCGAAGTATGACATCTCATGTTTTTGTGAGGAACGTGTGACGTTTGACAAGATCTAAGTGTTCGTATACATGTTTTGTCTCATATCAGACATGCCTGTTAAATCACGTCAACATCTTATATTAATTTTTTATAGAAACGAAAAGACAAAAAGTAAAATGCGGGCAGAGGAAAGAAAAATAAATGAGAATATGAAGAGAGAATTCTATTCCTACCAAATGCTAGTGTCATCTGGAGTTTCCTACGTTTTTATTAAGAATCATTTAGTCGCAAAATTAATATCAATCTAGATTCTCTCTCTTCCTATTTCCCTCCCACATTAAAAACATATCCAGGCTAATTCAAAGGTGAAGATTAGGCCAGCAACAACCATTCTTAACACTTTTTTTTTAACCCCAAACGACATCCGTGACCCCAAACGACGTCATTATACAAGAGGAGAAACACTTGGAAAAAAAAACTTCCCTCTCAACTTGTATAATAACAAATGGAACCCGTCTATTACACGCTACCTTCTGAGATCCTCCACCGTGACAACAGGTTTTGCAAATTTCCTCGCCGTCCAGGAGCTGACCGGCGATAACAACAGCCTGATCCTAACGAGATTTCTGCTTTACTACCTGTGAATCTCAGTTCAGAGAAAACCGGGGAATTCGAATTCAAAATGTGAGCTCCGCAGGCATGCAGACACGGCCGTTCATAGAGTGATCTTGGTCCTTTAAGCTTCAACAAAACAGGAAATCAAAAGTCGACCAGTTTTGGTAACGCTCCCCGCTTCATCAATTTCCAGCCAGCGGCAGTAAACGATGACCAACTGTTCCGTTTTGAACTCCCAGACTAACAAAAATCTTGCTATGCAGGTGGGCAAAAGAATTGAGTTTTCGACAACATAGGCAAAGATATCAAAATTTGGTCACAACTTTGAGCATTTCTGCCAAAATGAAAACCAACGACTAGTACGAAGGTCTTAAAAAAAAAAACCGACGAGAAGTGCAACTTATGACTATTACCATTTCACCAGTAAAAAATAAATCAGAAACAGATACACAAGGATGGAAAGCACATACGATCCAACTCCAACTGATTACAATATAAATTCTGAATCTTCATCCCACAATAAGCAAAAACAATTCAATAAACCCCTAACAGGCAAAGTAAAGTCAAACCAAGATAAACCTTTTCTAAGACGCTAGCAATCTAGTTCATGATAATATTAAAAGACAGTAATTGAAAGTAGGAAATACAAAACCTATGGCTCAACTGTGCTTACTTGTTGCCACTCACCGTCGACAGATTCTTTCCACAATGTTACATTGTTATTTCCATCAGCCACAGCCAGCAAGTTTCCGGTTAGTGACCATGACACCCTCCAGACCGGGGTATTAAAATCCTTCAAAACCTTCCCCTCCCATTGCTCACCTTCCTCGGCCACAGTCCAAATCACCACTGTTCCGTCCTGTGAAGCACTTGCGATTGTGGACTTTGGAAGTCCCAAGTTGGGTGCCCATGCTACATCTCTCACCCAATCGCTGTGCATTTGAAGGGCAGGGAAGCAGTCCATCTTCCAGATCCCGTTGTACAGCTTCCACACTTTCACAGTATTATCACACCCACCAGATGCCAGCTTATGAACTGGATCAAGCAGACCAGATCCAACTAGAGCACCAGGAGCCATCGATGGCGCCCATGAAACTGAGGTTACTCCAACAGGGTGGGCTTGATCTATCTTAGTGGTGTCCCAACCACCATCGTCCCTGGCAGTGAAAACCGATATATTCCCATCAGAGGAACCGCAGGCTAAGCTCAGACCAAGTTCATGAGGTGCCCAAGCAATGGAATTTACCGATGACTTGTGGTCGGTAAAAACATGAGCCTGTTGCCACTCATTGGGATTACCCTCCTTCCAAATGATCACCTGACCATCATATGAACAAGAAGCAAGAATCGACCCGAACTTGGGATGCGCCCAAGCTACCTCCCAAACAGGGCCTCTATGAGCTGACAATGTAGCAAGGTGCTGTGAAGCGTTTCCGACACCAATTATCTTAATGGTGGCATCAGACGAAGCTGTTGCTAGACGCTTTCCATAGTAATCCATGGCTACATCGTGGACAGTGTCCTGGTGACCCGTTTCGATCTTCTGGGCAGGCATCGTTACCGATTTATATTCTCGTGCCAAAAATGTCCCCAAATCACCTTCCCTTTAATTTCCTGACCTTGTCTCCTTTATGCTTCCTCTGGATTACAATGTTTTGCATATCAAAATTCAAGTCTAAAATTCTGTAACTAAATTTCCAAATCATTGCAATTCAGATAATTTCTATAGGCAATTTATCTCACAAACAACAAAATATTGAAATAAATACATTCACATTAAAAAAGATGATTCACTGTAAAAACCCATGATTAAATTTTCATATCTTATAATCCAAAATCAATCGCTATTTAAGATTAATAGCAGCAAAAAGTAAATTAATTCCAGAAATTGGGATTTCAGAAGCTCCGTAAGGGAAGATCTAGAAATAAAGTGCGATTATCTGCAAATATCGAGCCAGAAAATTGAACTGATTTAACATCAGAATATAAACAAGGACCGCGGCGGAGGAGCGACTGACCTCTGAGAAGAAGAGAGAGAGAGGACGCGGTGGAGGTCTCTGATCGGAGAACCAAAATTTCTTCAGTTGAGAGAAGGCGCTTATTGTTCTAAGAGAGGAGAGAGATTCGCTAAATTTCGGACTTCAGCAGCTCAGAGCGCGTGCGAAGAATCATGTGAAGAATCATCGCTCCAATAGATGTTAGCCACGTCACCTGTCAATTCAAGGGGAGGAACTCTCTTGGCAAATGGCATCGCCTGTCCAATAGATTTTTGCCATATATTTTAAAGAGAGCATTGTCCAATAGATTTTGGAATTGGATTATCTCCTGAGCTTAGGCTTAGGAGCCTGCTGACCAACACACATGGATCATTGGATTTTGATCCAATAATTACAAATAGGAGGATTCTTTAAAGGTTACAATAATTATAATCGTTGGACCTTGTGTGTTGGTCAGGAGGCTCCTGAGCCCAAGCTTAGGAGAGGATCCAATTCCATAGATATTTACCACATGATTTTCTTTTGATTACAAGAGGCTCAATACACAGAAAAATGAGCGCCTTGCATTCGGGTCTCACGCGAGCTATTATTATAGTAGACCCTGAATACAAGAGGTCTCTCTTGTTTGTGTCTTGGGCGAAAGAAATTCTAGGGTTAGGCCTTCCGAACGACCACGTCCCTGCACACACAAAATCTCACCCAAAGCCACCTGCTGCATTCCGACCCTGCTCACCCGCTATGTGTTCACCAAACATTCCGCTCTACATGGCGCTTGAACCAAAGAAGTTCTCTTTGGACGGACAGGTGACATGGCACGAGTGATCAAACCCAAGAATCTCTTGGATGGAAGTACTTGGACTAAAAATTGGTCACTTCAAAAATAGCCCTCTATCATGTGAACCATTACAAGAAAAATCCAAACATCACCATTAACCTCACTATCATTTTGAACACACAAGTACTAATCTCATACATAATTGTTAGCGGCAGCTTTACAACAAAAAGAATCCCAAGGGCAAGTCTATCAATCAACTTGCTCGCAAGGGCAACCATGGATGGTTGCTTTGACTGTGTCGCTGCTCGTACGAATTGTCTTTGCCCTGACTTGGCAACATGTATTGAAGTAGCAGCATATATCTGGTTCCCACTTTGATCATGTTGATAGTGGGATATGAGAAACCATTGTCATATGCTACTAACCCCATTGAAGAAGCATCCATGAGAATGGAGAAATGAAACCAAGCCACCAGTACCTTCATCCGTGTGGTCGTAACTTGAACTTGTAAGCCTGCATTTCCACGGGAGAGATAAGGACGCATTATAGCGTTTAGCCATGAACACTGCTGAAAAAGCAACCATGAGAATATAGTAAGAAAATCTGCTGCTAGTACATTCATTTGTGCGGCCGCAATTCCAGCTTGTAAGCCTGTATTTCCATTGGAGACATAAGAACGTGTCCGTCTTGAGCAACATCTCCAAATTGATCAGTATACCCAAGCATATCCATGTCCTCATGTAAAAGATTTAAGGAAGTAGCTCTTGCATTAAATACCGCAAGGTCTTTGAACATGTAAAAGAGATTCACAGTCTCATCAGCAAATCTAGTGCACCCTGATCTGCCCTTCCGACAATATGAAGAGTCCCAGTTCTGTCTCTGTAAAATTAGCGCAAACCTAGAATCTCCGAGAGGTTGTTGAGTGTATTTTAGAGGTTGGGGAACCTTAAAACTTACAATATGCAGATCACATGGTAAGGAAGCGGCTAAGGGGGAGAAAGATCTTGGGGGTGGCTGCACTGTTAACTCCTCTGGCTTCTTGTCAATGAATGCATGCAACGGATAGTTCAGGTGAGCACTGACACGGTGAGAAAGAAGAGATGGGTTCAAGGGCAATGGGTTGGAAACTGGGTTTGATGTGGCTGAAATATTAGACTCCACAACGATGTGGAAGATTACATTCATAGCACGGTTGTCCATCACTCCTTGTCCAAGACCTCGTCCATCATCTCTTACCAAACGACGGTCAAGCATAATCTCCAACCATCCATTTTTAAGACTTGCGACACCCAATGACTGCCGGGAATGGACTGTAAAGCGCTGACCATTGGAGCCCTGCATGAATGCAAGAGCGGGCATAGGGTAATAATTGCCCTGAACTGGGATTTTATCATAGGTTTCTCTCCGACTCATCTGAAAGCCATTTAAATCAGAAAAGAATATCCTTTTGTTATCAACATCTGTTTTATACCTAACTATCAACTCCTTGTCATCAAACTCCTGGCCGAGAAGCTCAACATGATACTCCTTCTCAATGAGAAATTCCTGTACAGTATTCTCTCCATTGTAGATACGGGTGCTATGAGAAATGGGGCTCTTCTCCCATGCAGTCCTTGGATAAGAGTAAACTTCCTGCACCAAAGGGCCCTCAGAGATCACCAACTGCCCACCTTCTTCGATGATAGGCTGGGCATCACCTTTGGGTTTAAATAGGTAGGCTCCACTTCCCGAGCTAGAGTACATAGCTATTTCCTCACCCGCAACATTTTGCGAACCATTCTTATAGCTTATTTTCTGCAGCAAGCCATGCTTCACATCAAAGGTGAGTATTTGGTTCCTGTTCTGGATTTCAGCAACATCAGCATCTGGTTTTGAGCAAGCATATGGAGTGGGACAAGATAAAGAACCAGACTTTGAGAAAAATTTTAGTTTTGCTGGTTTGGCCTTTTCACATCCAACAAAACCATTAGCAATGTAATATGTTTGCAACCCCAATGCAGGAACAGAAGCCTGCCAGTAGACACGGTGCCTTCCAGTAAAAGTTTTGCTTTTATCATGCTGAAGCTCAGGGGATATTTGGCTTTGAACACATGTCCAGTTTGAGTCTAGAACAGTAACATCTGGACGGTTAACAATAACCATCACAACCTCTTCTCTTGTCTGCTCCAAAGGATTAAAAAACACCACCGACCGTCTAGTTCCTTCATGGGCCATGATTGCTCTATGAACAGGCTGAACATCATATTTAGATCTCACCTGTTCTGGCTCAAACTGAGACGGGTTATTCTCATTTTTCTCATGGCGCATTCCGAGCAGTACTTCAATAGCTTTAGACATGAAAATCTGCAAGTCCTGCAAAGATGTGTGCATCCGAGTCCCATAGTCCAGGACCACATGATCTTTAGCAGTACCAGTCACTCCATCGTGATGCTGGAAAAGAGCTAAGTTCCTCCTAGCAGCAGCCAACTTGTAGGAGAACCCCATGGGCAACTTTTCACATTGTGGTTTCTGGCAGTACCCAAGCAGGAAAGCAATCATCATCTCTGTGGTACGAATTGTCTGCTCGAGAACTCGATCAACAGCCTTGAAGAAAGGCCTGGAAACATAATAGCCACTCCAATAGTCCTGTTGCCTATCAGCATAAGTGAAGAAGTCACCTGACAAAGAAGGAAAACCCCCAACCTGAAAGGAACCAATCTCACCAGGAAGTGAATGATTTATTCTTTCAGCCTCCTCACGAAGGGTCCAAAAGTAATCTTCCAGGGTTCCAAACTTGGCCTCTGTGTTTAAACTGGGATTAGAATTGATATAATCAAACAACATTTGGTAGTTCCTAAACTGAGCTTCAGCTTCATCGATGCTTATGTAGCGGAAATCATCTCCAAGAGGAATAAGAAGTGTATTTGTCCTGTACAGTGTTGATTTCTTCTTATATTGATCTAGTAGAATAAGTGCCCGCTCCTGAACATTTCCCTGGTTGGTCTCTACTGGATCGTCTCCCCACGGACAGAGTTCATAATCAAAGCCACGCATTCGAGCAAAGTCAAACTGACAACAAATAGCAGGCTCTGGCCCACAAGTATGTGGAATATCATAAGAATAAAAGGGCATCATGTGGACAAAAATATCGGTAGTTTCATCCACATCCCAGCTCTGACGCCATATATACTCCAAATTTTTATGCAGTGCAAGTTCCTTCTTCAGCTCATAATGGGTCCTCTGAATAAGCATATTTTCGAAACCCATGCGACGGAGAAGATATGCCATGGTAGGTGAGTATCCAAATGGATCTATCGCCCAAGCATTTTTAGGAATAGCCCCAACAGTTTCGTTCAACCACATATTTCCTTCTGTCATCTGACACATCCATTGCCCAAAGATAAAATCAGCAACTCGGCAGCAAAAGAGACGCATAAAATCATAAAAAAAGAACAATATTAAAAATGAAAATAAATGTACCTGCTCAATTATGGCATAATAATGTGAATTAGCCTGCATCAAGAAGAAGAACCAATGTATTAAGCTTCAACAACACAAACGCATTAATTACAAAATCACGTCAGGTACTAGGAGTAATCTAAGCATATGGTAATACTCTGACCACCGGAAAAAGAAAAGAGACTTGTACCTAGATGCAATGGGGTGGTGACAAGAACCCAATATCATATAATACTAGTCGATAATCAAGTAAAAACAAACATGCGGTTAAACAAAAGCCTACGAATATGAATATTACCTCATCGTTCATTACCCAGCCACCTCCAACAATTTCGAGCTGACCATTTTTCACCAAATTGGTGAATGACTCCCTTTTGTGATCAGAGGCGTCTCTCCACCATCTTTCCAGATAAGACATCTCTTCCCATATAAACTTGCGCCGAGAATCCTACACATCCAAGAAAAATCCACCCAATTAAATCTCACACAAACTTGGAAAGTCTCGAAAGCAGAAAAGCAAAACCAAAGATTATGCATAATCTATATTTTTTCTCAGCTGCAATTACTGCTATAACACAAAATGCAAGTTCTTCTATAATTAAAACAATCAATCCAAGAAAAGGTATTAGCATTTAGCTGATATATTAACTGGATCATACGAACTCAATGCACTAATCGTATAAAACAAGAAAATTTAACACCAAATGAGCAAAATTTAAGCTCAAAGCAAAACCCAATTGAAAGTTTGAATCTTCTGCTCACCTTCGAAAGCGTATCGACAATGGTGTCAAGAATATGTCTGGATTGCACATCGTAGTACTCTTCCACCGTGAGCTTCCAGCCGGGATCGTTATGCGAATGGGGCACCACGATCACCTTCAATTTCTCAGAGTCCCACTCGTCCCCTTTGTAGCTCACCCGCCACCCCTGCTTCCACGGCCCGCCCTCCACATCCGAGAAGTCAATCTTGTCGTACAGGTCCTTGGTGGTGAGGTCGACGGTGGCCCCAGCATCGGCGTCGGCGGCCGAGACGGTCTTGCGGGAAACGGGCTTTCGGGGCTTGGAGAAGCGGGCGGGGGATTTGGATTTGAAGTGGGAGGAGAGGGGTGTGGGGACGCCGTAGCGGAGGAAGACAATGAGGAAAAAGAAGAGGGAGATCGAGATGCCGATAACGAAGAAGTTTGCGAAGATGAAGTCGCGGAGGGGTAATCGCCTGCGGGGCTTTCTGGTGAGCTTGGATTTGGGGTTGGATGCGGAGGAGGAAGGGAGGAGGGAGTTGGCCCAGCCGCCGCGGCGGGTGCTGCCAATGTACGACGAGAAAGCCATTCCCGTTTGTTTTGTTTTGGGGGAAATGAGATCGAAGGGAGGAAGGGAGGAGGAGGAGACGGACTTTGCAGTCAGTCGTTTGCTTGCTGATGGTGGGTGGGACCCTAGGCCGAGAGTTTTCAGTGTTGCAGTTGTTGTACTTGCAGTCTTTGTTTAGTCGAATGATGAATACCAAATTAACGATCGGATCCGTTGGATTATGGGACTTTTGTTTTCGAATGAGTATCCTCTTCGGATTCTCTACGTGAGAATTTTAGAATTCCTCAATTACATTCATTTATCATATATTATGTAGTTAGTTTTTATTAAATATTATTTATATTTAATTTTAAATAAAAAAATTTATAATAATTTTTGACCGCATGATATACAATATACAGATGTAATTAAAGAATTTCTAGAATTCTTACAAAGAGAATCTGAAAAGAATACTCTGCTCTTTCTTTTCCACGCTATAATTATAATAGGAGAAAATTAGGCACTAGAAAAGTATAAAGGAGACAAAGTCATGGTACCATCTTGTTCTAAAATTCCCACTTAGGACTGCATAGGCCTTTATCTAGACGTTAGATAGTTGGTTACCATCTCAATTAATTTTTATCCGTTCATTGTACATTGTGCAGTTAGTTTTCGTTAAGTATTATTTATATTTAATTTTAAATAAAAGAATTTACAATAATTTTTTACTGTACAACATACAATGAACATATGTGATTGAAGAATTATCGGATTTCTTACAAGAGAAACCAAAAAAGATCCTCATTCTTTCTTTTCCACGCTATTGACTTTTTGATCTTTCATGCTCATATTATAATCGGAGAAAATTGGGTACCAGAAAAGTATAAAGGAGACAAAGTCATGCCACTACGTTTTTCTCATTCTAAAATCCCCGTTTAACACTGGTTAGGCCTTTATCTAGACGTTAGATAATTGGTTATCGTTCTAATTAATTTTTAGGTGTTTGAAATTAAGAAATAATATTTAAACCTACCTAGGAGCCCGTCTAAAAGCTTGCTTAAGTCGCAACCCTCTTTTAGATAGAAAATAAATAATTTTTCATTTTATATTTTATTTGTTCAATAAATTGTTTTTATGTTTTCAATATGTTCTAATACTTTATCATTGATGTCATTCTATTCCAATACAATTATATATATATTTTAAGTATAAATTGACAATATTTTACATGTTATATAATAATTTAAGTAAAATTAATTTCTATTGCTCGACTAATACCTTTTAGAGCCTTGCATTTTCTTCGCAATTTTAGATACAAGTTTTAGACTTTTGGATTAAAGACTCTCAACGGCTCAGTCAGACCAAAAGTGAGATGTCATTTAGAATTAAAAAAAGAATCTTCTCTCTCCTCTTTATTTGTCCAAAAAAAAAAACAAAAAATAGCGTTTCTTTGGTCAAAAAAGATAGAAGCACTTTTTAGAAAGCACGTGGATTGACCGATAAAACAAAGCAGCACATGCGAGTTGCTCGCTCAGAAATAATTTGAAAAAAAAAGCACTCCGAATTTCCCCATAAAATTTCGATGTAATTCTAATAGAAACATAGACATTCCACACGCCAAATAAAAAATTCCAATTTTTTTTTGTCCAAATTTCCACGGATTCGAACCAACATGCACATAACTTGCAAGAGAAACTTGATCATATAAAGCCTATTTAGAAACCCTAAACCCTAATGAAATAATTGAACTCGAATGCAATTGGCACGAACTTCTTTGGAAAACAATTCCTACGTAAATATGATTTCCTCCTATGCGCTAACGTTAAACGTCTTCCCGACCTCTGAAAAGGAGTGGATAACCGTGGTCTGCCATTAGTTATCTCCATTTTTAAACAAGAGGGCTCTGCGAATTGGTCAACTGAATATAGTGATAATTTCGTTCCAAATTGGCGAGAACATAGTGCCACTCTAGTCGCACACTCCAATTTCCCGTGTAACATAAATTATATTGCCTGCAAAAAGAAGTGTACATATCCAATCTACCCAACAAAAAACTATCGCCCTTTGCATGTTTCTTTACATGTTCAAACACAATTACATGCATGCCCATATATTCAAGCAGAGATAGATTTGGCACAATAAACTTTATAATGTCGGACAAAATCTTTCTCAGCTTCAAGATGCACACGAAGTCCCCGAACGATGGCAAAAGGGGCGCTGGAGAATCCATCTGGAACTACCAACAGGCTCCTTGATCGCATCAAGTCCGCAACAAATGGGCTACAATGTCACTGTCAATTCTGTCGAGGGATGAAAGTTGTCGAACGTTACAATGCTATGATCCAACGCATTCCAACTGCAATGTTAAGTCCTTGACTCCAGCTTCGTGTAGTACGTGTGAGACCTTTGCCTTTGCAGCAGCCTTGTCGATTTCTGTTGAGACATGGAGATGGAGAGTCCCCACTACGTCGCTGTTTGTGAAACTCCATATGTGCCAGTTCCGAATGCCAGAAACCCCCCTTATCTTCCTAACCTCGATAAGAGCTTTTCTCAAATCCTGCTCGTGTGCTCTGGGAATTCTTTGGAGCAAGATTTCTGCCGAGTTTCTAAGTAATGGGATAACCGAAGATATAATCAAGACGGAAATGAATATTGAGCAGGCAGGATCAGCAACCAGCCATCCCTTGTACTTAATCAAGAGGGTTGATATCACAACTCCGACACTTCCCAAGGTGTCAGCCAAAACGTGCAAAAATATTCCTTCCATGTTGTGGTCAATGTGGCGATGTTGATGCTTAGCTGATTTTTCTCCATCAATTGGCTGTTTATGGCTATGGAAACCTGGTTCTTGAATGTGAGATTCCGCCACTTGATGGGGTAAGCTTCCATGAGTGTGGGCATGGTCATGGTGTTCGTGCTGGTGGGCATGGTCATGGTGTTCGTGCTGGTGGGCATGGTCATGGTGTTCATGCTGGTGGGGATGGTCATGATGTTCGTGCTGGTGGGCATGGTCATGGTGATGATGTTGGTGGGCATGATCACCTTCGTCATGGTCGTGACAATGGCCATCGTGATGATGGTGGTGGCTATGAACGTGGCTGTCATGCTTTCTATGGCCATGGTGGTCAAGCTGATCATGTTGGTGATCATGGCACTCTTTGCTTCCGCAATTGTGATCTTTAGAACTGATAGAACTGCCATGTTGGTGTTCATGATGATGGTCATGATGGCCAGAACATGATTTTTCATGGTCTTCACTGAAAATAGGTATACATTCCTCATGCTTTCCATGACCTTCATGATTATGCCCAAGAGAGTCATGCGAATGCGGGTGATGCTGGGAGTGGGAGCATGATCCTGATCCACCATGAGCATGATGATGCTCCTCGTGAAAGAAGATTAAACCAACCACATTAACAAGAAGCCCCCCGATCGAAACAACTAATAAACTGCTAGTCGATATCTCCTGAGGGTCCAAAATCCTCTCAAACGACTCCAAAACTATCAACAATCCAACCAACACCAGGAAAACAGCATTCGTATATCCCGAAAGAACCTCAAATCTCCCACGCCCATAATTATACTGATTGTTTGCAGGCAAGCGAGAAATATACGAAGCATATAGCCCAATTGCAAGAGCAGCACAATCAAACAACATGTGACAGGCATCAGATATCAGCCCCAGACTATTGCTCATGAACCCAGCAGCAAATTCCACAAACATGTACCCAGTATTGATCATAAGGAAAAGCGCAATCTTGCGTGACTTCCTCTCACTCAAAATGTGCTTAATCGGCTTCATAATGGCGGTAGTAAACGATTCTGAAGACTCCATCCCCAGTTCAAGATATTTCAAATAGTAAGGATCCAATTCCCTAACAGCAACATACAGTAACAAACCACATAGCAACAGTCCCCAAAGTGATAATTCAGGAAAATAGAACAACTCCAACACAAGAGTACACAGAAATGTTACCATATACTCTCTTCGGAAATCGTTTGAACTCAATGACTTGTCATCACTAAAACTTTCACTCAGAAGCACCCCGAAAACAACGGTGTTTGCCAGAGGCCAAATTAAAGTTCCCACTGAAACTCCATCTCCCTCAGCTTCAAACATGAAAAAACTCACAACAGCAGGAATGAACAGCACAACAGTTGTAAAAAACAGCGAAATTACACGAACCCGTTTTCGACCCAATTGCCTAATTGTTCCCCAATTCATCGATACCCGTTCGTAGCAACCCAAAAATCCAGCGAGAAATGGAAGCATCATTGGCCAAATTCTCACACAATTGACTCTTGGAAACAGTGAAAGTCCCAAACTTTCAACCAATTTAGCAGAAAATGGGAAGCAGTCAATCCGATCCCAACTCATAGATAACAAAAATAACCCAGAAAACAGAGCGAGAAACCCACGGACCTTGGAGGACCGATTCCGATCGCCGCCGACACTCGAATCCTGGCCATCCGCCAAGAACCGGGCCGCCACGTTGCCGGACAATTCTGCCAGGATCATGGCGGCGGTGCCGCAATAACGAAGCGCCTGAAACCGGAGGAGGAAGACCACGGCAAGAAGAATCGATTTGGCAACCAAGATTTTGTGCTGGGACTGTGTGATCAAGGTGAGGGAGAAGATGGGTTGGTTTTGCTTTTGGTGAAAAGGGTCTTTGGAAGAGGAGGAGGAGGTGAGGAGGGAGGAGGAGAGGGTGAGGAGGAAGGAGAGGAGAGAGACGAGGAAGGAGAAGGGGAAGAGAGAGAAAGAAGGAGAGGAACGGAGGAAAGGGAGGAGGGAATAAAGGGAGCGGAGGGAGAGGAGGAGGAGGAAGAGGAAGGAGAGGGAGGACTTGCTGCTGTTGGGGTTGAACGGTTTGGGGTTGAGGGATGAGAGGCGGTATTTGGACGGAGTTGCAATCGGGGTCGATGAGAAAGGGTAAACAGGGTACTGTCTAGATGTGGCGGTGGTGGGTGTGGTGGAGAAGGCGGTGGTTGTAGTGGTGGAGAAGGTGGTGGGGGTGGTGGGACGTTGGGGGAGTGAGAGGCGGTGAGGCCTGTGCTGGTGGTGGTGGTGGTGGTGGTGATCGGCCATGTTCCCAAATCACCTTTCCCTCAATTTCCTGAATTTGTCTCCTTTATTGCTTCCTCTAGATTACAATGTTTTGCTTATCAAAATTCAAGTCTTGTTCTACACCTAAATTCCCAAATCACTGCAACAAACAACAAGATATTGAAATAAATAAATTCAAATTCATAAAAAAATTATTCAATATAATTAAATATCCAAAATCAATGGCAAATTAAGGTTAATTGCAGGAAAAAATAAATAAATTAATTCCAGAAATAGTGACTTCAGAAGCTCCGTGAGGGAGGATCTAGAAATGAAGAGTGATAGATCTGAAAATATCGTGTCAGAGAATTGAATTGATTTCTCATTGAAATATAAATAAGGATAACGGCGGAGGAGCGGCTGACCTCTGAGAGGAAGAGAGAGACGACGCGGTGGAGGTCTCTGATCGGAGAACCAAAATTTCTCCGCTTGGAGAAAGCGCTTGTCGTCTGTGTGCGAGAGAGCTGCTAAATTTCAGGCTTCAGCTGCTCAGAGCGCGTGGGCTTTGACCTGTTAGCCCAGTTGGTCTTATACGGGAGAAATTTTGTATGTAACGAGAATACAAGTGGTACACCATGTGTTTTTATGTAAATGTTGAGAAATTTTATTTTTTAAATTGTTAACTTTTTAATACATATATCCCACTATTTGTATAATGACACATGGTATACCACCTCACCTCATGTGCCGGTAACATTGAAAAATCTCTCCTTATCATTATGAAAATAATCGACCCACCAATAGATGTTTGCCAAGTCACCGGACTATTCAAGGAGAGGAACTTTCTTGCCAAAGTGTTAGTTGCACCACTGGTCCAATAGATTTTTGCCACATATTTAAAGAAAGAATATCTCGTCCAATAGATGTTTGTCACATGATTTTCTTTTGATTACAAGAGGTTCAAGATAAATTAGAGATTTATCAGTGTGACAGTATACGAGGTGGTACATCATGTATCATTATACAAATGATGAAATATATATATAGAAAAAAAGTTAATAACTTAAAAAATGAAAATTTTCACCGCTTACATAAAAACAGGTGGTATATCATCTGTATTTCAGTCACAATGAAAAATTTCTCCAAGATACAGAAAAAGATGAGCTCCTTGTATACGGGTCTCACGCGACTTGTTTGTGTTTTGGGCAAAAGAAATTCTAGGGTTTGGACTTCTGGATGGCTTCATCCTCCCACACACAAAGTCTCACCCAAGGCCCCCAGCTGCATTCCGACCCTGCTTGCCAGCTATGTCTAGACCGAACAGCCTGCACCACATGGCGCTTGAACCACAGAAGTTACTCTTTGGAAGTGACATTGCACGGGTGATCAAATCTAAGAATATCTTGGACGAATGTACTTGGACAAGAAATTGGTTTAACGTATGCAAATTAAAAAATAATCAGCATGTAGTTATAGATCACAATCAAAATACAAAGCCCAAACATCACCATTAGATCGTTTGAAAGTGGTTTTCAAATTGGTGAAAGAGCATTTCGTGAAAATATTTTTGAAATTAGTGTCTGGTGAATATACAAGTAAAGATGTAGTTCTTGTACACAACACTAGTGCTTCTTGCAAGAGACTAGTGTTACATAATCACTTCAAGTGCTTTTAAAACCCAAAAGCATTTTCTCTAAAAGCGTTTTAGGCTTTTAAACACTTCCAAACGAGTCCTTAGCCTCAATATCATTTTGAACACACAAATACTAGTCTATCAATCGTTAGCAGCACAAATACTAATCTCATGCATAATTGTTAGCAGCAGTTTTACAACAAAGTGAATCCCAAGGGAAAGTCTATCAGTCGACTCGCTCGCAAGGGAAACCAGGGATGGTTGCTTTGACTGTATCGCTACTCGTACGAATCGTCTTTGCCCTGACTTGGCAACAGATATATGGTTCCCATTGAAGAAGCTTCCATGAGAATGCAGTAATGAAATCGGTCGCTAGTACCTTAGCCCGTGTGGTCCTAACTTGAACTTGTAAGCCTGCATTTCCACGGGAGAGATAAGGACACATCATTGCGTTTAGCTAAGAACCCTGTTGAAAAAACAACCATGAAAATACAGTAAGAAAATCTGTTTCAAGTACATTCATTTCCGCGGCCGCAATTCCAACTTGTAAGCCTGCATTTCCATTGGAGACATAAGAACGTGCCTGTCTTGAGCAATGTCTCCGAATTGCTCAGTATATCCAAGCATATCAGTGTCCTCGTGTAAAAGATTTAAGGAAGTAGCTCTTGCATTCAATACTGCAAGGTCCTTGAACATGTAAGAGAGATTCACAGCCTCATCAGCAAACCTAGTGCACCTGATCTGCCCTTCCGACTATATGAAGAGTCCCAGTTCTGTCTCTGCAAGATTTGGGCAAACCTAGAATCTTCGAGAGGTTGCTGAGTGTATTCTAGAGGTTGGTGAACCTTAAAACTTACAATATGCAGATCACATGGTAAGGGAGCAGCTAAGGGGGCGAAAGATCTTGGGGGTGGCTGTACCGATAACTCCTCTGGCTTCTTGGCAATCCAAATTTCCTCTGATTCGAACCAACATGCATATTACTTGTACGGGTAACATGCTCGTATCAAGCCTGATTTAAGAACCAAACAAGCCTCGGAAATTTAAGAACCCAGAATTGAACTCGAATCCAATTGGCACGAACATATTCGGAAACAATTACTTTATAAAAATTAACTTTTAGATATCTGATACAAATGCATTACAAAATTGTTGCCTTTAAGTTGCCGAATAAAAATGTTGCCCATCTGTTCTTGTAGCTCAATTATACAATACACTGGTTAACCAAAATAATTAAACAAAACATACCAGCATGAACACGAGCAGCAACCGAAAACCAGGAAGCAAGCTCTCTCTTGGAGATTATAAAATGATTTCCTCCTGTACGCTAACGTTAAGAGTCTTATTTGGGAGAACGATGCTGTTGATCACCACAACTTCGTCTTCAACTGTCACCTCTTCTCCTGCCAAAAGAAGAAAAAATGAGGGCTCTTCAAATTGGTCAACTGAATTGAAAATTTTCCTTGCACATCAACAGCAATAAATTCATAGAAGAAAGGAAGGAGAAACCAGGCATGCATACCAAGGATGGTAATTCCAAGCTTTGCGTTGTAGTCTCCGTCAGCCTAAACCAGTCAGTTAAGTTTTTAGTTAGTAACAAGAATGAGGAGCAATCCGCACAAGTTCAGAGAAATCTATAACTTAACAGAACGGTATGTTACTAGTTTCATTCACTAATCATGCAACTACATCCAACAACAGCATTTACCTGGACACGCGACCATTTTCCAATACACGACTTCCATCCAACAATAGCATTTATAACAACTGCATTTTCCTGTCATGACACAGAAAATTGAAGAGTTCGGATAAATTCACAAAAGCATCCCCAATACACAAAAGTTCTTGTCTATCCATCAATATACCAACTTCAATACCTTGATTTCCACGTCGTCCAAGATAATGCAATTTATAAGCCTTACTCCTGCACCTACACGAACATTTGCTGAAAGAGACACATCGGGACCAATCTGTGCACAAAAGTAACTCACGAGTTAGAAGGAAATGTGGAAGAAGGAAGCTCTAAGTAATGATTGTGCTGCTGCCTCCAATATATTCACTATCCTACTTCATCCAATATTTATGTACAAAACATACATGCAACTGTGAACAAGGATAGAACAAAATAGTAGATGATGATATGGAAGTGGTACCACCTTACAAGTTGGATGTACTTTTGCCGATGGATGAACATAAACATCACCAACAATTCTAGCATTCTTGGTACCATCTCCACTAGCTAAATGATGTTCGGAGTTAATTCGGAATTGAGAAAGATACAAACCCGAACATTTCAAAGACATTCTGTAACAGCAAACAAAGATTAGTATAAGGCAAATGATAAGAAACGTTTAAGAAAAAAGAAAAAATAAATGAAGCTATTAGGAAAATTTAAGCTACCCTGGAGTCTTGATCTGTTCCCAAAAATCCATGGTCTCATATGTATACAGTTTATTCTTTCCAGCAAGAGGTGACAAAATATCTTGATCCAATCTAACAAAATCTGTGGGAAGAGTCCTGTTGAAAGGAGTGTATATCAACATTAAAAGTGACACACTCTGAATTTAAAGTTTAAACCAATAACAACTCTATTTGTAAACGCACGTTATATCGCCTTCGTGCCACAAGAAATGACATTCCAGGGGATTTCAAACAAACGTTCCTTCTTCTAGTACTAACACGAAATATCTTAACTTATATATAGGTATTCACAATGGATATGATCCGGACAAGCGGTAAGCATTTCTCAGGCTGAAACCAGGGAATTAAATGAAAATAGCTATAAATTCATTATTCAAAGTAAAAGTATGCAACCAGGAGAAAGACGCAAACCTTGTTGCAGACTGGAGGGCTTCAAAGCTGGAAACACGACGCAAATTAGCTGCAATTGTCAAATACAAATTCAGACTCCCTGAAGAAGCTATAAGTTCATTATTAAGATATGGACAAACGTTGATGAATGCTGCATGGCTATTCATTTGCATCATGATCCAAGCTCCATGACATGATTTTGAATATTCTATGGAGTTCCCTTACATCCAAGGTTTGTTGGTATAGTAAAGTACTAACATCTATCAAAATATCTCGTTTGCATCAAGTTAGTATCTCGCCTAACAATAAAATAAATGATTCATTCACTGTGAAATTCAAGCATATTTACTTCATAGGGATAAAAGGAAATAGGAAAAGCAATACGTGTTGAGGCAAACTTTGTTATCAATAATCACAAATGAAGTAATATAATAACTTTAGAGCCAGAAATTGATCCCAAGTGCAAACCAATCCACAACTATAATGCCAGTTAAAAAAAAAACCCAACCTCTGCCTTCTCGGTGACTGGAGACTTCTTGAATGGCAGTAAAAATATCTGGAGTAAATACATATACACCACAGTTGATCAAATCGCTCACCTGCATTAAGAAAATAGATAACCCTTACCAAATGTGGCCGGGAACAAGCAAATAAAACGAAGAATTGAGATCATCAAGCACCAACTAAATAAACAATTTCTGAACATTAACTGCATCGTGTACGTACAAAAGTCTCTGGCTTCTCAGTATAATGCAATAGTTCTTTGGTGGCAGGATCAGCAACCAACTCCCCAAACTGGTTCGCAGATTCTGCAGAAACCTACATATGAACCAAAAAAACAAAGAATAGCATGACGAAAAACAAAGAAGAAGAGCGTCAGCTATATGGAGCAGAGTTGCAACATATTCAACAATTCTAGCCGTCTGTCAACAAACTAACCTTAATTACTAACATTGTACCTGTTCCCTTATATCTTTTATGAGCCTCTGCAACAACAAACAACAACAAGAAGCAACAAAAACAATTACTTTCTCGAAGTCCTATTTATAAATCCAAGCAATAAACTTTTCGTTAACATACACGAACATGGAAAATAAAACTCACCAAGCATGTCTACAAGTGGAAAACTGCAGCAAACATCACAATTCAACAAAAAGATATGAGACTGTTCCACAGACACAAACACAACATTGTTAAGCAAATCTTAGTACACACATAACAGTGGAAAATGGAGACAAACGAGCACTGAGCATAGAGTTCGAACCGGGCTGTCTTCCATGATGATATCTCTGTAGTAATAAAGTCCGCCGGCGGAACCGTGAGGCTTGTCCTCTCTCAAGTACCTCACTGGCACTTTGAGCTCATTGGAAATGGAAGACACATACAGTGCGAATTCTTTCTCTTCATAGAATCCAACCAAATAGATTTGAGCTAAATTAGGTATCTGTAACATAAAATCAAGCATTCAATTCTTGCAATTGAATTCAAATCCAAATTCTTTGATGGGACTTCGGTTAAAGATTGAAAAGCCAAAATCCAAAAGCTAAAAGCTAGAAGCCAAAAGCCAACCTTTTTACAAGCTGAAATGGGGTGGTGCACCATGGCCTGCCCGGCCAATGGGAAAAGCGGTTTCGGAGTGTTGAATGAAAGAGGCCGGAATCTAGTGCCTGCCCAGAAAATTAAACGCAACAAAAATCAGAAAATTAAACGCAACAAATTCTTTGATTAGGAATTGTACGAAGAGTAGTACCTTTGGTGGGCCCGCCCACCATGATTACAGCGACTACCTTCTCCTCCATGACTGAAAGAACCCCTAGATCTTGAGCTGGACTGGAGATTTCAACTCCACGGAGACGAGCTGAAAGTTTGAAGCTTTGGAGGAGGAGGAGAGAGTTCGTTATTGACTCACTGTCCAAGTTTTTACAGTTTAAAAGCACTTTTGCTGACTTTGGGCTTCTGCGGTGAGACTTGCGAACGGATCATAATTTGGATAAAATCGGATCCCAGGGGAGAATATTACATGAACTCAACAGTCTCAACGACGTCGTTCGGCTGAAGCCGCGCTTATGCGCACGTGAGGGATTTTTACGTTGGTTAACGTTTTGTTAAAAAATCTCTTTTTTGGCACTTGTTTTAAGTCTCCGTTTGTAGATTAAAATAATTTAAAATATACATAGTCGTTATTAACTATCTAGTAATTTAGTTCAACGGTAATTATCATTCTAAAGTTAATATAAAATAGGCTGTGTGCAGTTAGATTAAAACTACTTTCACACTCGAATTTCTCTCGTAATATAAATTATATTAAAATATCGCTGGACCGCGAACCACAAACTACGTTGTCTGCGAAAAGAAGTGTACATATCCAATCCACCGAACAAAACTATCGCCCATTGCATGTTTCTTTACATGTGCAATTACACAAACATGAGCAACCATTTCTCGTGACTGGAGGGAAAGATGCATGCCCATATTCAAGCAGAGAAAGATTTGATTTCATTAAGTTTATAATGTCCGACAAAATCTTTTCTCAGCTTCAAGGTGTACACGAAGAAGTCCCCGAACGATGGCAAAACAAAAAAGGCGCCGGAGAGTCCATTTGGAACTACCAACAGGCTCCTCAATTGACGACGACGAGAGGGGGTAAACAGGGTATTGTCTCAATGTGGCCGTGGTGGGTGTGGTGGAGAAGGTGCTAGGCGTAGTGGTGGAGAAGGTGGTGGGACGTTAGGGGAGTGAGAGGCGGTGAGACCTGTGCTGCTGCTGCTGGCGGTGATCGGCCATGTTTGCTGATTTTTTGCTGGGTTCGAGATTAATTGTTGGAATATTGAGTTTATCGCAAAGTCAGGGACGTTTGCTGGGTAGATTGCAATGGACTCTCGGACCCAGCATACGGTCTGAGGAAAGGAGCTTTTCTTGGCGGGGTCCGTGGAGTGCTCAGTCCATTGAACCAGACTCGCATTTCATCAGACGAGGGATGAGAGGCTGTGGACCGTTTGATGTTTTCTTCTTCCTTTGACGGGTCAAATCAAATGCCTCTTGAATCTTGAGTGTAATAACTGATATAATAGAAATATAGTTAGAAGTGTATTATTGTAATTGAGTTATATGGTTATATAAGAGATTGTATAGCTATCGTTTCCTTGAGTTCGGATATATACGTTTTTTCCAATAAATCAATACAATCTCTCTTGTTTCTCTCAATCATCTTCGTCTTCCTTTGTACTAATTCTTCATCTTTGCAATGTAATTAACATGATATCAAAGCCATCAGCTCACATTTTTCATCTGTTTCTAGCTTAGTTTCTTTCCAAATTTCCATTAGATTTTTGGTGCTTCCGCGAGCTTGGGATTGCGATTGTTGCGAATGTTGCAATTTAAACCACTGGGTTTCTTGGACTCTGTAGTGAGTGGTGGGGGTGGCGAGTCAGAGTAGTGCGAGGGGATTTAGGGAATGGTATTTCACTAAGGTGTGAGTAACCACGAAGAAAACGAGAGGTCTTCGAAGATTCAAGCGTTGAATTGTTTATGGTTTTTTTTTTCAAGAGTTGAATTGTTTATGGGTATTGCACATTATATGTTCGACGAAATGGCTGGGATGAGTTCTACTACTACTGATCAACTTTTCTACGTTATATCACGGTGTTTATTGTTGCAATCTAAGCCTTTTACAATTTAACAAAATTATTACGAATTTTCTGTTTATTTGTTACAGTTGATTTACTAAATAACTTTAGTGCTCATCAATTTTTCACAAATATAATATAAATAGTTTCAATTATAAGCATTAAATTTTGTAAATCGAGAGGGTGTGCTGTCAACAATAGGCCTCACAGCCTCCTCCCTCTCTGGTTTTGGTTATGTCAAGGGACGGGCCGCCATGTCCATCGAGGAATTAACTCTCCCTACCTTTCTTTTAGTGCCCTTGTAGCTAGGTTAGTGATGCTTCAGTGTGTTGCAGGACTTGTGAGGGAGCCTGCTGTGTAATGGTGCATTGTCCTTTTGTTAATTTCTTTTGCCTTATTTATGATTTTAATGAGAATCTCAGTTGACCAAAAAAAATTCTCTAAATCGGACGCTGAAATACCTTCTCAAGCATTCCTCCACTTCAGGAGTCCCCATTCTATCAGAGAATGCGTCCATGCATTTAACCTCTTTCTTTAGTAAGTAGGCCATTTGAAATTTTTTGTTGTGATTGGAACATGAGTGGTATATCATGTATATTTATAAAAGTGGTGAAAATTTTTATGTTTTAAATTATTAATTTCTAACATACATATTTCATTATTTATATAATACTATGATGTACTACCTTGTATACTCGGTGAACTGAAATTTTTTTTATTTGATTGACGTAAAGTCGCAAAGAAAACATAATGTTGACGTGCCATCTGTTTTGATTGACGTAAAGAAAACATATATAAAGGAGCATTTTTTATCATATGGTGATGACGATGAGCTGATCATGAAACTGAAAGTCACTAGATTACAATCCCAATTCCATTTTAAATTTCACTTCACGTTAATTTAAATTTTCTTAAGCTTTCTTTCCCAATTTAGATCTGATTAAACCTGTGCGGAGATAGACATCACAAACAAATTAAAGATATAAGCCAAACTAAGTCTATATAAGGTATGGAAAAATATAAATTAATTTATTCATTTATAAATTATAGTCTATTTCTTCTTTGCAATGCGGTTAAAAGTATAGTTAAGTTTATCGACGAAACATCACCAACCATTTTGCTTACATATTAATAATTGTAAGACTAAAGACATACCAACAATATCAACAATATCAACAATAATATCAGCATATAAAAAGTGTAATTAATCGCAATGTAGCCAATCTAATTATGTAGGACACTTATCCACATCCAAGAAAGTGTGCGCACTCATGTCTCGATATTGCTTTGCATACGTGTGTAAACTCAACCATAGGAGAATTTAAGATTTCAAAACTACAGTTCTCTTAACTCGATCTATTGCTGTCCCTGGACCCTGTCCCTGTCGTTCCCTCTTGTAAAGATTATCATGTATAGCTAGCTTAACCATGAACAATTCAAAAGTAGCTAGGGTACCATTAACAGGCACTCATGTCTTGAGAAAAAAATGATAACAACATTTATTTTTCCTAAAATCAAATTGGAATTAGGGTTTCTACGCATGCACTTGAATTTAATTTAGTAGCTTAGAACACAGATAAATTTTTTAAATACTGAGAATACAAGTCACATAATGTTATAATTCAAGGAAAATAGTAAAGTCACATGAACGTAATCTCCTAAAACTGGCGGTTTGTATTATTTCTATCTCTCCAACATCTTTCGCAACAAAAGCTAGTGGTTTCCATAAAGAAATCAAGTGCTATCCATCGCTGCATGCCACCCAAATGAAAAGTTTTAAACTACTCCTCGAAGCACTGAAGGACCCTCATGCTCCCTCCATCTGTCAATATTTCCCGGACTATATATCTTCAGCTGGTTATCTTTTACCTAATTTTTACATTCTTTTGAATTTCTTAGTTTCTTCCTAGCTAAAACTTATACATAGTAGCCATCCTCGTCAGCTACCACTGCATATATGTACAACAACTGTATATTAATGAAGTACATGTGCATGTCCGTCTGCAGTTGTGTGTGAACTGTGTGTCTGCGTATGTCAGCTGTGTGTCCCTGTGTGTCATCAGGATGCCTTGCCCTTCACACAGTAACGCATGCTGATGAATTTGTCTCTTAGTTCAATTCCCAAACGTAACGCATCCAAAAATCAAACGCACTCATAACTTTATTGCTTTTGTTGCACTAATGGTGTGGATTTTTCGACACGAAAAGATCAACAAATCGTAACACACTGAAAGGAGAGAACCGACCGGTTTGGCAAGAGAAATGTGAAAACGTCAAATAGAAACCCTAATATTAAAAATGGTGAAAGTTGCATCATTATTGATGGAGATTGGACACTCAGTCAAAAGTGTTTTCTCCGTAGGATAAAGAGCGCTGCTTTCTGATCATCTTGGGATCTTATCTTGTGGTAGACTGATAGTGATAGTACCACTAGGATGTATTTTTACTCATCACTCTCAAGTGATAATGTTCATCATTTTTTTATTATTGTTTGATGAATTTAAATCATGAAATTTGTATCTATTAACTATACAAACATCAAAATTTAAACTTCTTTTACGATGATAAATAAAGGTGAGCATCACCTTCACTTGAGGTAGAAATAAAAATATTCCTCTCTATTACGTCACTTACTTTTAGTATTGAATCTATTATGCTCACAAGTGTGTCCCATGCATGCCATTGTTTGTGAAATATTTACTTCAGATTATTAATATTGATGCAAAATGTATATAATATGCCAAATTATCTGATAATATAAGATTTTTATCTTACCATGTTATTGGTCATGTTGATTATTATTACTTGTTACAGATTCACAATCCAACATGTCAACACATGCACACATGAATTTGGAGAAATAAAAACATTGTTCCGTAAGTTAGTTTTATTTACTTAATTTTCATTTCTCATAAGTGATTTTTTTTCAGAAAAATAACTGATTGTTTTCAGGGTGTACTTAACATGTGAAATAGTTTCGTTTATTATCGTTCATCAACTATGGTCTTGTAGAATTATGACTTTTATTAATTAATGAATAAAGTTATAATATAGGGTCATAACTAATCTATATTGTAAAAGGACTAATGTACCAATTATAATTAATCAACCTTGTCTATATTAAAAACAATTATCCCAGAGAAGATTCCGAAATTAGGGAATCTATTCTAACATGTCTACGATGTAAGTTTGGCAAATGGTTAAATAAGTTACTTTTAGAGCATCTTTAAAGGTGATGTCAAAATTGGATTAATAAGTTTGGCAAATGGTTAAATAAGTTTGGCAACTGGTTAAATAAGTTTGGCAAATGGCTAAATTGGATTAGTAGTCCTCGTTGTGATAGGATAACTGAAAGATAGCCCCGTGGTGAAAAAATTAGGATTTAAACATCCGTGATGAATTCCGTTAGGATTCAAGTCCGAAATTGAAATTTCCGTCAACTCCCCGTGAACTCATTCAGCCTTCATAACCAAAAGGGATCTGCTACTAGATCGCGTGGGGATGTTTGCCCAGGTTGAACTCAAGTCCGAACCAACTTTTCAGGATCTTCTCAACCAACTTGCAGCCCCTCCTTGTCACCCAATTCCCAGATATTATCTATACCTAGCATAAAAATTACAAACCTAAAAATATATTTAGAAAGATAAAAACTTGTTTTTTCGAAGGAAAAATAAATACTTAAGATAAATACCTGCAGAGTAACGGCAGTATCCAAACAAAAACCTGCAAACACCAGAATATAAATAAAAGGGGTTTTTGAACTTTAATCTTTCAAGAAGATTAAAATTTAAAAAAAAACCTGGTGTTAGATTGAATATTGATTTTAGTCCTTAATGTGTCCTTAATTCAAAATAATTAATGTGCATTTTATTTAATGTCTCCCATTAAATATTTAAATTTATTAATACACAAATTTTAATTTATTTTTTGACCAAAAAAGAGTTTTTTAATTTATTAATTTTATTTAACATTCTTCAAACGTGAAAGACTCAATTAATGAACCTAAATGTTAGTACCGAAATATATTATATTGAACTAATATATTTAAATGTTTGTACCAAAATGTATTAATATTAAATTAATGTACCTAAATGTATGTACCGAAATGTATTCTCCGAAATGTTAGTACCGAAAATGTATTATATTGAATTAATGTACCTAAATATTTGTATCAAAATGCATGTACCGAAATGTGTGTACCTTAATGTATGCACCGAAATGTATTATAATGAATTTAATATACCCAAATGAAGAAGATAAAGTACATCGAAATATATTGTATAAAAAAATTAATTTATCTAAATGTTCACAACAAAATATATTATGATGAATGAAATGAAAATAAAAATTATAATGAAATAAATTTAATACATTAAAAAATAGAAAGAAAAAGATGAATAATTAAAACATCAAAATATAATTAATAAATGAGGTTATTAATGTATCAAGGAACTAAAATTAGATTTTGATCTTACTCATGGTTTTAATCAAAAAGTCATCTTTACCAAGGATTAAAATGAAGTTTTCTATAAATAAAATTTGAAAATCCTGCAAAATCCCAAAATCAAAACCAGAACATTAATATCCCGGCACAAATCCAAAATCCGAACATAAGAAATGGGTTCGAACTTTTATTCGCAGCTGCCACTAATGCAATTTTTTTTTTTTTTGTTTAAATCTTGCTTTCATCTGAATGTTCCAGTTTGTTTACCTTGAGGCTTGCGTCCATGCTTGGAGACCTACATTCTAATGCGATTGAAGATTTTCAAGTGAGGCCGGAGCAATCGTTGAACAAAGGAGAAGGATTCGTTTCATCTGTTTATTCCTGTGCTCAGTCTTCTATGTGAGATTGAGAAAGGATGTGCAGGTAATAGAATTTGTTTAGCTAATACTTTAAAGATGTTTGTGTTTGGGTTAATATTTGAATATCGAGCTCATAAAGAAAAAACCCAAGGATGCTAAATTAAAGGGAGACTTGCCCAAAGCCCAGCCTCAAGCCCAGAGCAAATTAAAGTCTTCTCAGCCAAGATATAAGCCACGTGTCTATGAGCGAAGTGACAAGTGATGAAGACTAACCTACTATCAGCCAAACAACACTTTCTAGTGGCATTACAAGTAAAAAGTTGATGACTCACTACCCTCTAGGTGCTTTCGGGCAAGAGAAAAAGTTACAGCAGCTAGGCCAAATTGCCTATAAAAAGAGGAAGAGGCCCTAGAGACAAGGACACTCAATCAATCAAACAAACAGACATACAAACTCTGCTCTCAAGCCAGATTTGCATCCAAAAGCTGAAATTAACCCAGATTTAGTCTTTTTAGCGATAGTTCTTTAGAAAAGTTATCTCTTGTCTTGTTTAAAAGCTCTTTTATCTCCCTTAGTGGTGTGGTATCGATTCCCTTATGTAAACTTGTTTACCATCCATCCCATCCATCTCTTTTTAGCATATAAACCCTGTAAATTCAAAGAGAAGTGATTGCAAGAAGTTCAATCTTGCCAAACAAGGTGAAATCTTGCCCAAAGCTCTTTGTTTGTTTTCTAAATTAGTAAATCTATTACTTAATGCATTCTCCAGCATGATTCAAGTTATTTCCACCTGTTTTTCTATTTTAAGAGTCTCATTTGCATCTGGATCTGGTTAGCTTGATGAATATGTTTTTATTAAATGTAATCTGGAACCAAACAAATAACTTAAGGGGCTCTGGACTCCCTTCATTTGAACATACAAGACTATGAACTAAAAGTCCTTATTTACAAGGCAAGAAAAAGAACTTAATGAGAACTTAACCCATCCACGACAATCCTTTGATAACAAGAAGTTCGAGAAACTTGGGCCGCAAGTAATCGACTTAAAACACACTCATTCTAGATCTGCTATACTGAGATAGCAGTGGCACGCCTAGCACTTAGTTAGTTTTGATTGCAAACCTCAAGGTCTACACCTAAGGCCCCATAAAGGCACCTTTCAGAACTAACTTTGTTCTCTTCTTTTAGCACATCAACAAGCAAGAGCCCGACTACACATCCAACGTGCCAATCCCTTAGGGAGCTGTGCTGAGGTCCGAGGAGACTTCTCCAGAGAAATCTTTGCCTGGACAGTTTGATTGCAATTTGAACTCATTATCTGCATTTGAGTATCAATGCGGGCAAACATCCCACGCCAAATATAGCAGCCACATCCCTTTTGGTTATGAAGGCTGATGGGTTAACGGAGAGTTGACGAAAATGTTAATTTTCGGTTTTAACCCTAACGGACTTCATGACAAGGGTTTAAATCCAAGGTTTTTTTTAGCACATGGACTATCTTCTGAGTACCCTATCACCATGGGGATCATTAATCCAATTTAGCCATTATAATTAATCAACCATGTCTATATAAAAAAGAATTATCACAGAGAAGATTTCGAAATTAGGGAATCTATTCTAACATGTATATAATGTAACTTTGACAAATGGTTAAATAAGCTACTTTTAGAGCATCTTTAAAGATGATATAAAAAAATTTATGTGGACTGTTTTGACAAAAAAAAGTGGTTTCTAGTTCCAAAGTAGATGTCAAAATTCTACATATATTGATATTCTTCATTTTGCTGCCAAATTTGAAGCAACGTTATTTTTTTATTTTAATCATGGGCATACATTTTTTTTTCTTTTCCCTTATTGATTATTTTATTATTAAACTCTAACCCATTTGATTTTCTGAATAACAAAAAAAAATATTTTAATTTGACATCTCAATTAAAATAAAAAAACTTTACAAAATATTATTTTGTTACGTCAACTATAAAATGAAATTTGACATTTTAATTTGGGAAGTGTTATTGATATTCCAAAAATCTCATTCTACACTTCTCATAAGTGTATTTTTCCTTCCTAATATATAAAATTTGAAATGTAGAATAAAATTTTTGAAATGTTAATAATAATTCTCTTTAATTTTACATCTCCATTTGCACGTCGTCTTAAAATATACTTGCATAAAAGTATCCTATTTATTTATCATCCGCCGACTCTATATGGTTTACATTTACATAATTACCTAGTTGGAACTTGGAATAACCTTGGGAATCTTCCAGGTATCACTTGACTCGCATCACATGGAACACAAAGCAGAAGGGCTGGCCCATCCCACGTGTCAAAGGCTCCACGTGTTCCATTATGTGGCACATCCAGATATATTCAGTGGGATAAACAGTGAACATTGACGTATGAAGTTTATTTTGTTGCACGAAGAGAAACTTTTAGTTGTAACAGGAACACAAGTAGTATATCACGTGTTTAATAAAGAATTGAGGGAAATTTTAACCACGTGTTTTAATAAGAATGGAGGAAAATTTTATTTTTTAAGTTATTAACATTTTAACACATATATCTCACCATTTATTTAATGACACGTGGTATATCATTCCCACTGATTGAAAAATCTCTCGTTGCACCAGATCATTGCTTTCTTGGTCACGTCGCCATGATGACACCCTGCCTGAAAAAAAAAAAAAAAATTTAAGTGGTATCCGTTTAACTTTGCTATCTCTTTCCATTCCCTTATAAATTAGTGCGAGCATCGTTGGAGAGCTTAGTGATTTGCCGAGTGTATACCATTGTATAGATACAACATTTTCACAAGTGTTTGGAAAAGGATGAAAAAGTATCGCCAATGATGATGAAGTTTGCATTATTGTTTATTGGTGGGAATATGAAAACAATAGTAGCAGCACATTGTGATCTCCAGATGATGACAGATTCATAGGAGAGCTCTTGTGGCTTACAGGTTTCCTTCTTCTCTGAATTCCCCATAAACCCTAAATCCGAGCTCCGTGGCTATAGCTCAATTTTCTGGTAGCTTGGATCGCAGTGGAGGTTATATCTTAAAGGGATCACGAGCAGTCATCCTTTGATATAATTTTGGAACATCATGGCTGGATCAGGAGGAAAAAGACTCGGCAACTCTTGCATTCTTCTGATAGGTAATTAATCATACCCTAGACCCAATAATTACTTCATGATAAGTTTTACAAGGCAGATGGGTTAATTTTTGTCTGTTTATTATTCATAATTATAGTGATTGCTGGGATGGAGAGATTTGCATACAAAGGAGTGGCATCGAATTTAGTTACTTATTTAACCGATGTGGTACAAATGAGCAACTCTGCGGCGGCCAAGACGGTGAACAGTTGGTGTGGGTTCACATCCATGCTCCCACTCTTAGTTGCACCCCTTGTTGACTCTTACTGGGACAGATATCCCACCATATTGGCATCTTCTTTCCTCTATGTTGCAGTAAGTACACATTCACTTTGTTTCCTTCCCTTTTTTTTAACAAAGGGATATCTGCTCTAATTTACAGAAAGCGAAATTCAAATTCGAGCGTAAAAAGATGTGTACACTGCTAGCTAACATATACATTTACTTTATTATTTGGCTCTTAATATCAACGAACTTCTATGAAATGGTTCAAGCAAATTTAGGCCAATTGTCTTGATTGTAGGACATCATTAATAAATAGGAAAAAATAAAAAAAATTTCCTGCACTTGTTTTTAGTATGCCTCTTTTACTAAAAATTTAAATGCTCACCAGAGATTATGCTTTTTTTTTTTTTTTTTTTTTTTTTTTTTTTTTGAATTTTTTCATCAAGATGTTGCTGATGATAGATTAAAATGGAGTCTGAGTCATGTGCACTAATCTTCTTTCCATTAGAATAGAGTGGAGATTATTAGCAATGCCTCAAAATGTACTGTGGAAGAATATAAAGTCGCACATTGCAAATTAAATAGAATACAATATATAACTAGTGCGTTTACTATTAATAATATATAACTAGTGAGTTTACTATTATTAATTGTATCGAGGTCTTTTATGGTAAAACCTCTAAACTACTGCCGTTTTTAACATTTACAACATTTTTCTGATTTGGCCTCTCGACTTTCAATTTGATGTACGAGAAATTTTGGCTCTAATGCGTAGGAAAGGTGCAACTATAAGCTCATTTATATAAGGTTTTGCTTTTAGGGGCTTGTGGCATTGACATCAACAGCATTCACCCGGGCATCATCTGCTGCAAACAAAACAAGTTCCAATTCATCATTTCTATTTTGGTCTCTGTATTTGATTTCTGTTGGTCAAGGTGGCTACAACCCATCTCTACAAGCATTTGGAGCAGACCAACTGGACAGTGAAGAGGAACTGCCTAGCAGCAAAGATGACCAAAAATCTAACAAAAAGAGTGTGTTTTTTCAGTGGTGGTATTTTGGTGTTTGCAGTGGCAGCCTCATGGGTGTCACTCTCATGTCCTACATTCAAGACACTTTCGGTTGGATTCTAGGTTTTGCCATCCCCATGATATCGATGGTTATATCGGTCGTGGTATTTTCCTGTGGAAGCCGAATCTATACATATAGAGAGAATGATCAGGCCATGGATTATAAGCCCGTTTTCAACATAGCTCAAGCTATCAAGGCAGCCGCATTAAAGCTAATGAAATGCAGAATCACATTACCAAATGAAACTAATGTTAGTGAACTAGAGTAAGTTAACAAATTTCTAACATAATACTTTTTTTTTTGAAGTTTAAGAATCCAGTTTACAATTATAGACATGATTTCCACACTCCATTTTTTCCCCTGCATTCCTCTCTTTTTTTTCTAGTCGTTGGATGGAATAAATCGAAGGTAAATCAAGGGACAGAATCATATGACAGAGTGCATAAGCAGAAAAAGGGAGTGCGGTCAAAATCATATCTCCTTACAAATTACAATTACCATGCATGAGTTCTGCTGCTAATGCTATAAGTTTTGGCTGGTTTTGTATTATATAGGCTTCAAGAGAAACCGCTTTGCCATCAAAATATTAGCAGCACGGTGAGCATGGTTGAGAATCCCAAAAGCCGCTTCTACGTGCTTGAAAATGCGAAAGTGCTTTTGAGGCTTCTGCCAATATGGATTATGCTTTTGATGTTTGCAGTGATTTTCCAACAGCCTCCAACATTTTTCACCAAACAAGGCATGACAATGAAGAGGAACATTGGAAGCAACTTCAAGATTCCACCAGCAACTCTGCAAAGTGCCATTACACTTTCCATAATCCTCCTGATGCCTCTGTATGACAAAATAATGATCCCGGTTACACGTCTGGTTACGTGTAGCGAAAAGGGTCTCAGCGTGATGCAACGGATGGGGATTGGAATGTTCGTTTCAGTCATAGCAATGGCCATTGCAGCGGTTGTGGAAACAAAAAGGCTCAAGATCAGCAGGGAAATGGAAATGCGGGGATCTCAATCCGAGACGGTGCCATTAAGCATCTTCTGGCTGCTGCCACAGTACATTCTTTTGGGCATTTCAGACATTTTCACCGTTGTTGGAATGCAAGAGTTTTTTTACTCTGAAGTTCCGGGAAGAATGAGAACAATGGCCTTTGCATTGTACACTAGTGTTTTTGGGGTGGGAAGTTACCTGAGTACCGTTTTGATTGCAACAGTTGAAGCAGTTACAAGTTCCAAAGGAAGGCAGAGCTGGTTCTCTGATGACATGGGTGAAGCTAGGCTTGACAAATACTACTGGTTTTTGGCATCACTAAGTGCACTGAGCTTTGTGTTTTATGTAATTTTGTCTACGTGTTACACAAGTAAGAAGGATCTGGATTTGGAAAATGAAACCTGTAAATAAAGCTTTTGTTTGAGGAATTGATTTTGTTCAGATGAAAATTTTCTCGTTTTGTTATTTAGTTTTGTGTCAATGATATTGTTTCATTCAAACTTTAATAAACTACTACACTATGTGCAACAATTTAAAACTAGTTTTGTGGGATAAGATTTTATTTTCTTTTGATTAGGTTTCAATTAGTTGTTCTTTTTTTTATCTCCTTTCACTATCCTCAATATATATATATATATATATATATATGTGTGTGTGTGTGTGTGTGTGTGTGTGTGTGTGTGTGTGTGTATTTATATATTACAAACTCATCAAATTGTTTCAAGGTTAGAGCTACACGGGGGAGTAATTGGGACTGCTGAGAAGTGGTTTTTCTTCCTCAGTCAGAAAAAGATTTTTGAGAAGGGGTGCCTTAAGTAATGCTATAGATCCAATAATCAATGAACACAAAATGGGTGAATATCATAATCTTTATTCTTTGATCATTTAACTCTCAATATTATGCATACTGGTACAACTTTTATTTGTTTATTATTTTATAAAATCTAAGCAGCTCTTTCTCTAAAATTTTGATGGACTCTCGTGAACTTTGATACTTCGTCACTCACCATGATACAATGAGGATCACTATTTTCACTTTTACCGTACCATGTCGCCACCACTAGCTAACCATGACTATCCACACTACGCTATTCCTGGCATTGCCCCCATCGCTGCCAACGTCATCACCATTGTAGACACCAACATCATCACCTAACACCGCCACCATTGCTGCTGACACCGCCAACCATCATATCACATTTTCTACCACCATTTTGTCATACTCATCGTCACTGTACCACAACCTCCCATAACCATCTTTTCACTGCCACGCACCGAAACGACCATGGACCATGATCGCCACCTATAGTACCACTATGTTACCTTGTCCGCCACCACCACTCAGGCCACTACCTCGACTATGATTGCCTTGTCATGGTCATCATCATCTTAACCTCCTACGACCACCTTAATGCCGCGCACCCTCACCCATGACCACTACTGAAACCGCCATCATCATGATCACCACCTTCACCTTGCCCATCATGGTATCACCACCACCCAAATCCCACTCCTCCACAACCCCAACACCATATTAGAAAAAACAGAGACTTACAAAAATTTGGAATAAAAAAAAAAAAAAGAAAAAAAAAAAAATATATATATATATATATATATATATATAATATTCATGAGTTAAGGATTCTTTCACACGTCTAACAATTTTGGTCATAGTAAAAAAAGTAAAATTACAAAGTCTGTTAAATTCCTTTTGAACTCTACAAAAGTCTAGCATTTTTTTGAAAGAAAGTACGATATTCATTGATAAGAGGAGAATATGTACAAAATGTGGATAGTGTGCTAACATGGACCTCGATAAAAACCTTGCTAGGACCTTCAACCCGGTCGAAAGGAAAAAGGATCCTGCATAAATAAACAAATGTTTACTATCCTCACATCGCCAGGCAAATACAAATTAATCTGATGCATCTTCAAATAAAGCATCCAAAAAATTCGAAAGAAATCTATTATTAAAAAGTCTATAGATTTCATGGAATTTCTAATAGTCAATAAAAATATACGAAATCTAAAAATTCGATCTCATCACATAAAAAACCTTACAAAGACCTACATAAATCTAAATACAATGAACCCCTAAATTCGATATAATCACACAAAAAACCATGCAAAGGTCTACATAAATCTGAATACTATAAACCCCTTAAGTTTACTTGATCAAGGTTATCTGCGAATGACTGGTTTGGGTGTACGGCATACATTTGAAAAAGAAAAAAATAAAGTAAAGCAACACCTTCGGGTTTTGAACAGCAAACATCAAGAAACATTACACACTCCGTTTTCACCACAACAACTAATTTGCTAAGTATGATTTACTTGTATTAATTCATATCATATCTACAACATATATATATATATATATATATATATATATAAATTGGTCTCTCTGAACTCGGAGGCCCTAGGCGGGTCGCCTTATCGGGTGCCCATGACCGACCCTGATGAAGTTCCATGGGAGAGTGGAGAGTAGAGGAAGAGGATGATGATACAAGATTAACGGTGGGGATAGGGTAGCTAATCATTTAAATTCTAATGTCCACTACAAAATTTTAATTTGGAGCCGATTAGCTCGTTCATAATACGTAATTCACATGACTTTGACTAGAGCTACTGAGCTAGAGATCTTGTAGCTCGAGAAGATGGTGGGGAAGGAAAAAGAGGGCATTGTAGAAGAAAATAATTAACTCACTCTAGTTGTTGTTGTAATTTCCCTTGAATTAAGTATAATTAGGATACATATTTGATCATCGACCAAGTCCTAAATCCAAGAATATAGTTATTTTTCTGGTCAAATAAAATGTGTTGTACTACCGTATGTAGTAAATTAACGTTGTTTAATTCAAAAAATTTGTGAGTAACCTAATATATTGTCAATTAATTTTATGATGAACCTAATTTTTTTTCTATCTTTGCATAATTAAGACGACTCTTTTTTCTTTCTATGTTTTTTTTCTATGCTTTTTGGGAAAGAAGGGCAGTTGGGAAAAAAAGATTTAGGACATCAAATTCCAAAGAAAATGGAAGAAGCAAACTAGTCCATGTTGGACGCACACCAGCACACTAATTAAATATTCTTAGAGGATGACACATAAGACCAAGATCACATCAACTTATTTTGCGATTACAGTAATTTCTCTCGGTGCCATTAAAAATGAAAAGACGAATGAAGAACTTAGTTTGTTGTATATATATATTTAAGTCAATCTTGGTAGACAATATGGTTCAATAAGTTAAAGCAAACTAATAAGCTATTGTGTTTGACATTCTTCTTCTGTTTTTTTTTTTTTTTTTTTTTTTTTTTTTGGTAAAGAAAATCTAGACGGTAAGAGATAAATTTATTGATATGAAGAAAAAAAAATTCACCTAGGCGGGGGCACACAAACTTTATCCCTCATTAAGCAAGAAAAATAAAAGGAGAAATTAGGTTCTCATCCCTCATTTTGCTACTCCATTGATTAAAACTTTATTCCTTTTCAATTTTTTATCAAGGTCCTTGGGTATTAATAAACAATAATAAAATATTATTTATTTCTAAAGATATTCATTTAGTGTTAAAAATGTTACAATTGGTATATTTATATTTATGGCTAAAATTTTTATCATATATTTTTATTTTTAGTTTGTACCCATTTTTAATTTGAAACCCTTTTTAAATTTGTACCAATTTTCTTTAATTTGTACCCATATATTAATTTCTTTTTGTGCCCATATTTTTTAAAGTTTTATTTGTATTTGTACCCATATTTTTTGATTTATTTGTACCCATTTTTAGTTTTGCTAAATTTACCCATGCTAATTATATGTATTTATATTATGTTTTAAAATATATCAGTAATTATTTTTTAAAATATGTTAATAATTATATGGGTACATTATTTTCTTGCTATAATTTTGTGAAGAACAATATTACTCTAATATTTATTTTTAAGTATTTATTATATTTTGAATTTGTTTAAATTTCTTAATTTGTGAGACAGTAAATGCATAAGTTTAATCTCATACATAATGTTAAGGAACTCGATCAAAATATTGAAACAAACAAAGTTTTAGTTTTTAGAATCAATTAGACCGAAAGCATAAACTGACATAATTTCAATACTTTCGTGTGCAATATGAATAAAATAAAAATTTTCTGACGTGTTTTAAAAATCACCCCTGAAGAATATAAAATATGGTTAACTTTATTAATAAATAAGTTATAATTTGAGTAGAATGCCGTATTCCAAGTGCACTAAAAAATTGCTTGGAATTAGTCTCTCAATTGTGTTCTTCTGACTTTTTTGGGGTTTCCCCCGGCCATCGTTTCCAGTCTCAAAGACATAGCTATAGTCGAAGTCATGATCATGTGGAAGACGCAGATCAAAATCCATATGGACTAATCAGCGTATCACCACCGTTAAATATTAGCGCATTAGAGTGATATCAGCGTATCACCACCGTTTATCTTTTGTTTTGCTTGAATTTCAGTTTGTAGCATATTCTGGTTTTTCAAATTTTTACGTATCACCACCGTTTAATCTTAGTACATTAGAGTTATATCAACGTATCACCACCGTCAAATATTAGTACATTAGAGTTATATCAGCGTATCACCACCGTTTAATCTTTGGTTTTGCTTGAATTTCAGTTTGTAGCCTATTTTGATCTTTCAAAATTTTAAGTTTTAAATATATTCTTTCTAAATAGAGCGTATTGGGCACCTGGTTGTTAGATTGTATTGCTAGAACGTAGGCACAAAAAGACCCCTATTTGTGCTTAACTCTTTATGTTAGTGTCCTAACTTGAGAGGGCAAAAATAACTTTTTGTCCCCCCATATTTTTTGTAGTGTTATTATGAGATTATTACTTTTGCTTAAAATCTAAACATTAAACAATTACCAGTCAATCGAACTAGAGTGACAATATTAGACTAAACTTCAAAACAGGGTAACATATCTGAAATGCATGCAGATGATGGATTCAATGAAACAATTGTCGTATCAAAAGTTTACAAATATAGTGCGTCATACTCAACACGTTCAATGACTCTACCATCAATTCATACACACCCTTGTCTATCTGCACCTTAGCCGAACGTACTCATTTGTCCATCGCAAGCAACCATGTCTTTGATCACTATCTTAACAAGTCACCAGCTCTGCCTGCTTAACTCCCAACACATAGTCCTCTCTTTCTTTTCGAGGACCCAAGCGTGAAACCAATCTTAACCCTACTCGTCCCCACTTTCAAATCCTGATTCGATTCCAAACCTTGATCAAACCCATTACCCACAACTACAGGCATCGACGACTGAGCAACCCTCTCAATCTGCCTCCACTACTACATTAAACACTTTGCGCGACGAGGGAGTATTTGTCGCGCAAAGCATTTCCAGGTCACACAAAACCTATGGTAGCATAAATCGTCATGCAAAATTTGTCACGCAAAGGTTGTGAAGAAAGACCTTGTGCGACGACGTGGGCAGTTTTGTCGCGTAGCAAAATGATTGTGCGATGCTTGCTCATTACAAGAAAGGTATATGGACAAAGGTTTTCGTCGCACGATATAAGAGGGTACAAGTGTGCTTTTGTGACGAGAAATTTATGGGGACGTCTACTGTTCGTCTCAAAAATGTTTGCGCGATAAAACATGTAAGACGTGCATCGTTTTGCACGATGACGTATCTTCATCGCGTAAGTGTAATTTTTAATTAAAAAAAAGAATTTAATAAATAGAATGTTATTAAAAAATATATTTCATACAATTGACAAAAAAACAAAAAAAATTTAATGAATAGAAAAACAATTTATTTATAATATAAATAAAAATGTACTTACAAACACAAAGTTTAAAACGAAAGTGGGAAAAAAAAACTACGAAAAAAATGAGACATAATTTATGGGCAAGTCGTTTGGAGCTGCTTGGTAATCTTGCTGTTGGAAGGGGGTGGTGTTGGGGACAGGGTCAAAGGTCGACGAGTCTGATTGCTATGTATGCTCAGGGTGGAAGGGCTTTGACGGCGATGGTGCAGAAAAATTAAGGAACATATCTCGGAGGAACTAAGGGCTTGTACAATCAATGACATTTGAGTCTTGTATGATACAAGCTCACTCTTTAGGCCAGCGACTTCGTACATCAAAGTCGTAACCTCGCCCTTCAACTGCGAGGATGAAGAGGCTTGACTCTCCCGCTGCCTGGCATTTCCCATCCCCCGACAATATGTCCCTGGCCTCCGACCGAAAGTCTGGTCAAATGTCTTTGTAAGGATGTGAAACCCCGCATCTCAGGGGGAACCACAGACTCGATCGGTGTGTTCGGGGAAAGCTGGGGGTGGACTCTTGAAAGACCGATTGACCCTTCTCTACCATAATTGCATGTGAAATAAAACATGGAATATTAATAGCAAACAATTTGAAATAATTAGTATAAATCTTTAATGCATAAGAAATTAATTACATGAAGAAACTCGGTCAACTCATCCTCGAGCCGAACATAAATATCAGCAAAGATGTTGATCTTCGGGAATTTTGAACCCCTTTGAAATAAAAAAAGATAAGGAAAATGTTAGTACGGAAACAAAAAAAAAATTATATATATATATATATATTAGCGACATTTTAATATTGGAAATGAAAGTTTTAATATATACCTTCTGCTGCGCCTCCATCCTATATGAGAAATGCCTCAAACCCGAATGGTGGAGAAGAGTCTTATTCTCCCAATTGATCTTGTTCGCCTTCTTCTGTTATACACAAAATAAATGTATTAGTTGTAATATTTAAAGAAAAAAAAAAGTAATAAACATTAGAAAAATTTTAAAAAGTAGAATGAAAGAAGCCTTATTTAAAAACGCACCACATAGCTCAGCTTCTGAAAATGACCGTAGAGCCAAACCCAACTATCTTCTCGGTCCTCAAACTCCTTCGGGCAACCCTCCTCTAGAGCAACTTGCGGATCATCAAATATCTCGAAATACTGGTGTAGGTGACTCTTCCACTAGTTGTAATGTTCGGAGAAGAGCCAATTGAGGTACTCCAACATGTCATTGTTAATGTCATCGAAATTGTAGTTTGTCTGCAATGTAACAAATATTACGAAAGTATTAGTGATAAAAGACATTAATAAATATAAATATATAAATTTTACATGATAAGCATTTGAAGTGTGGGGGCGCCGGTGAGCACGTCGGGCGCTAACAAGAAACGCCACTGAAGAATTTGAAGATGTCGGCGCCTGTGGGATTGTAGGACCAACTGGGTCAACCGGATTCATCGGCCTATGGTCCATCTCTACCGGAGTAGTGGCAACAGTAGTAGGTGTAATCGTCAGACGAGGTGTACTCATCATCGTCTTCCAGCTTCTAATGAGCTATGACATCTACAAAAGTGGAAATAAACCATTACAACCTTAAATCTAACTCACTGTCCTAATTCGATAAGCAATGAAATATGTAAAACAATGGCATATGAAAATCATACTTATACAATTAGACATAAATGAAACATGTAAAACCCATACACGGAGAGCATATCTTAGTATATGTTTATTGGTGCAAGTCCGGCTACTAACTACAACTTCTTCGATAGTTAATAAGCATTACATTTCATCCCTTGTACTTGGCTCTATAAGGCAAAAACAAATAAATATACGGCTTTTTAGCAAAAATGGTCCCTGAGATTTGCATAACACATCACTTTGGTCGCTGAGATTGAAAATCAATAAAAATGGTCCATGAGATTGTCCACCATCCATTATTTTGGTCATTCTGTTAAAACTCTGTTAAGTGTGCCAGAGTTCTTGACAGGAAGTTTGGGCAATTTTGAAAGCTTTGTAACTCAATCGTTTCTTAACCAAATTCGACCCATAATATATCAAAATGATGATAGGAAAGTGCAGAACAAGATTATACCTATTTGGAAGCCCAATGGTTGTCGAAAATGGTTGGAAAATAGCCTGAAAGGTGACTAGTCAGCAGGAAAACTGGAAAACTCACCGGAAACTAGGTAAACTTTAAACGTTCATAACTTATTCAACACTCAATGAAATTGAGTGATTCAAAAACAAAAATCATACTTCTCAACAAGACGAAGAGAATGTTATTTTCTTGACGGCTAATTCTCCATGGTTTGGCCGGAAAAAGGCTCGAAAGTGGCTATTTGGATGGGATTTCCAGACTACGATATTTGATAATTGTATTTGGCAATGGAATAGCTTTTGGGAACAACTCAGTTGGATTGGGAGAAGACACTGATGCTAGAACATATCGAGTGGGAAAAAAATACAAGCGCCATAATAGGGGACTATGTTATTAATGGCAATACTGACACAAGTCAAGCTTCTACACTTCACTTTTCTTGGACACAAATTTAGAGCCTACCATAACAAAACTTCCTCAAAGAAAGGGAGCTGGAATAGATCATGAAGCAAATAGTACCTCAGGTGAGACCGTCACTCTAGCAACTCTAATTGAGAAAAGTTTATGTTGGTATCAATTGAGTTGAGGCAATTGCTAATGGAGTTTGAGGAATGCAAAGCCTAGTGGAGAAAAGAGAGAGAGGAAGATAGAGGAAGATAGAAAAGAAAAACAATGATTATTAGAATCTGTAATAAAAACTGCTCAGTCACTATTAGACTCCATAACAATGTATTGAACTTCATAACAAAATTTATACCAAATCCTTTTACAATTTACTGGATTCTATGTGAATCAATTAAAACGCATGAAATACATGAGAGTTAATAATTTCATTAAACTCTATTAGAATTCTAATTGAATACACCCTCCTTACTTGATAATTTATTGCCTTTTTGATTAAGTTTTAGGGTAATTTTTTATAAATCCATTGACAATACATCAATCAAATTTATTTTAATCATAAATATGTGAATGAGACCTTAAGGTACACCATAACACTTCAATTAACCAGCATTTATTAATTAATGCCACTATATATAGCTAGCAACGTGTGAATTTTTTCCAATTAGGTCAATCACACGCCTCCTACATCGTACCTCGTGCGACTCCTGTTTTACATTTGGAATCAGATACTGCAACGCATTTTTGTTTTATGGTTTTGTATTTTTACATTTAGATTTACATTCTGCAACTAAGCAGCATGCAAATTCTTTTATTTCTCATCAAGTCAATCCCACGCATAGTCACATGCCTACTATGCTTCACATCTCACGCGACATCTTTTTTTTTTTTTTTTTTTTTTTTTTTGTACATTTGGATTCAAACACTACAATGTAGTGTCCGTTCCATGGTTATGGTTTTTACATTTGAATTTAAACTTTGCAACTAAGCAGTGTGCAAATTCTTTTATTTCAAATCAGGTCAATCCCATGCATCACTTACATGCCTACTACGCTTCATACCTCGCACGACTCCTATTTTTTAGACTTGTATTCAAACTTGCAGTGTTTGTTTCATGGTTCACCAGCAACTGATGTACACGTGCGATCACTCATTCCCAGACCCTGCCGCCACCCGGCTTCAGGATCTCGTGGAGGTCATTGAAGGTTCTGGAAGGAATCGTGCCAATCAAGTTATCATTCTCGCTGATCTGTTGAGCCGTTGGGATTTGGTGCTCATCGTTGTCACCAATGACCTTTTCTTTTTCATCAATGAGAAAGAAAGAATGACAGAAGAGAGACGAAGAGAAGGATGGGAGAGAGTGAAGAAAGAGAATGGTGAGAAAGCCAGGAGAAAAGAATAGACAAGGACAAGAGAGGGGAAGAGATAAGGAAATGAATAAAGTAAAGAGAAAAGGGTATAACAGTCATTTTCTAACTAGCCCAAACCCATGCTGCATGCTTCATTGACCTATGCATAATTATTATAAATATTTCATTTATTATGTCCAAGTAAAAACATTGATCATCGATATATGGCTAATTCGTAAAGGTTCTATTGAACTTCGGCTAAATAACCTTATGTTTTAATTTAGGACTAATTACACTTTTCAATTTGCACCCATAGTTTGGGTAGTAAAATGGAAATAAAAATAAAGTAAAATATTGAACCTGCTCTTAAATAATCTTTCAACTTCGACATCAAAGTTGCTACTACTACGGTCTAGAATATTTCTCCATACTTATAAGTGACAGCTCTTAAATTTAAATATGGCAAAACAACGAGTTGGATACAAATTTATTCTTTAAGTAAATATATGGTTTGGAAAAAATTAACGCGCTTAGAAATTAAAATTTATAAAAAGAAAGTTCATAACATTGAAAAAAAATCAAATTTAAACCAGCATATATATGCTATTACAACTTTAATTGATGCAATAATGTATTGCGAATCCCAGTACACTCCAGCTGGGGTAACTTAATTATTGGATAAAGGAAAAAAAAAAATGAAAAGTTGACTTTTGCAGAAATTTAATTATTTATTTTTAGTCCTTTTGATTATTTAATCAAGAAGTGCTATATAAAGATTTAATTCCTTGAATATCATCCGCATGCAAACTTTGGGTAAATCTAGTCCGAACACCGGAAGACATGACAGCTCCTTCAACAGAGCTATGTCCTCGCCCAAGCAGATGCCCGATTTCATGCAAAGCCACGGTTTCCAGGTCATAAGCACCCTCCACAGCTCCCACAGCCCACGGCTCATCGGCGTCATATTGGAATCTCCCAATGGTCGGTGCAAATGCATGAGCAAGAGTCCCACCGCGGCCATCAAATGGATTCCCATCTCCATGATCACCCCGACCAAAACTGATCTTCAGATCTGCGTTCTCGTAACTTTGGGCTTGACTGAACGAGAAGTGTGTTTCCTGCCCATGTTGCAAAAGCTCGCGCCACTGCGGCCTGAGCCTCAGCTGGGGTGCTTTGATCAAAAGCGTAGGTGAGATGGTACTTAGATGAAGGCCATTTAGCGTAGGTGAGATGGTACTTAGCTGGGGTGCTTGATGTTCTTACCTGGATTATTTTCAGAATTGTTAAACTTCCTTTCTTTCCCTCCTTGCACAAAGTTCACAGTTTCAGTGTCTTTGCCCTTCTCTTGTCTCTATCGAGTTTCTTCTTGAACATACTGTGCAATGAGCTCATCTACATCCCAACTCTTATCTTGTGTGTTATATGACACCTTCAGTTGAGAATACTTGTTAAGGAGGGCCTGCAGCATTGTAAAGACCAGCTATTTTTCACCAATGTTGACATCCATGGAGTTTAACTTTTCTGCATCAGTCATTTTCGTAATGTGATCCATAATTGAACTAGTATTATCAATCTTGTTGGTTGTCAAAAGTGACATGTATTGACTGATCTTTGCTTTCTGTGACCCCTGGAACTTTTTCTCTATCGCATTCAAATATTCTGCAGCCAACTCATGTTTTTTAATCCCTCCTCGAATTGTATCAGTCATCCCACTTTCAAGGATTGAAAGTGCAATTTTATTTGCTCTTGTCCACCTCTCATAGTCTCCATTTTTTGCTCTAGTGCTTTGTTCTGTTATCATTGGTCTTGGAGTATCAATGACTATATCATACTCATTAATTGTCAACAGTAGTCCAATTTCTCTCCTCCATTTCTTGTAGTTACTCCCTGCAATGAGAATTAGGATATTTGCCAAGTTTAAAGTCTTCAAGGTTATTGCAGATGTTGCAGATGAAATCACAAACATGAACCAGTTAGGTTCCTAATTTCCTTTTGTAGATTGCACATCACAATTCACATCAATAACTCATACATATAGACTTAACAACATATAGTTGATAAGCATACCTAGAAAAATTGACTTATCATAAACTCAGCAAGTTTAGAATGAGATATGCAACAACAGACAGCCAATAGATGTCTCATGCATGGTAATCATTATCCATCACTTGGCAGAAAATAAAACTACATTAAAATTTTCATATCACAAGACAACTGCATACTCAAACATGATTGAGCATTCATAACTAGTACAAAAACATGTTTGCGCTACGGTAACTTGCACGACGGAGTAAATTTCGTATCACAAAGTATGTTTGCACAATGCTAAACACAAAATGTCATGCAAACGGCCTTTGCGCGACAGAGGTGCACCTTCACCGCCCAAAACAATTTTGCACGACATCAGTCTTCGTCGCAAAGTTCCGTTGCGCAAAGGCCGTTTGCGCAACGCCTCCTGTGCATCGCGTAAGATTTTGGCACCAAACCAAGAATGATTTATCGTTTTTTCCCAACATTGCACGACGTAGGTGCACCTCCGTCGCGCAAAACAGCTTTGCCCGACGAAGATTGGCATTGCGCAAAACAACTTTGCACGACGGAGGTGCACCTACATCGCATAAAGTCAACGATACTTAGAGTTTATTTATACTTTCGTTAAGTATAACATAAGATTTTGTCTCATTCCACCAGTGTAAATATTTAAATTGAAAATCGAATTCATTCATTGTATTCATATATGATCAGGGAGTGTAGTTATAAAAAATCATCAAAATCGGAGTTAAAATAACCATTAAATCGTGATTTTTCATTTATAACCGTTGAAAAGTTTTGTCATGTTACTTGATCTTTGAATGTTTGTTTTTTGCGATTTTTGGCGTATGCGATCTCGAAGTATATACAAACAAGTTTGACGGTTCGATCGTTGAAACTAGTTTCATAGAATGCGTATCACATCAAGTTCAATGGTATATATATATTTATTAAATAGCTTTAAATTTATTTATTTTGTATGTATAACACTTAAGAAATTGAATGGTATATATATTTATTAAGTAGCTTTAAATTTATTATTGTAGTTCGGATCGGGTTTTTGTTAGAAAAAATATATTATTGTGTTTTATGTAAAAAAAACAAAATGAATTTGAAAGGAGAAAAATCACATTTTTAGTAAATTTTATAATAATTTAAAAAATATATATAATTTGTGCAACGAATGCACACCTTCGTCGCACAAAGTCAACCACTTTGTGCTATAACATAAGATTTTGTAGTATCCACTTGTGTAAATATTTTAAATTGACGATTGAATTAGTTCATTGTATTCATATAGGATCAAGCAGTGTAGTTGTAAAAAATAATCAAAATCGGAGTTAAAATAACAGTTAAATCATGAATTTTCATTTATAACCGTCGAAAAGTTTTTTCCTATTATTTGATCTCTGAACGTTTGTTTTTTGCGATTTTTGGCATATGCGATCTCGAAGCATATGCAAACATATTTGACGGTTGGATCGTTGAAATTAGTTTCGTAGAATGCGTATCCCATCAAAATAATATATTCACTAACACTTAAGGGTTTATTTATACTTTCATTAAGTATAACATAAAATTTTGTGGTATCCACTAATGTAAATATTTTAAATTAAAGATCGAGTTCATTCATTGTATTCATATAGGGTCAAGGAGTGTAGCTGTAAAAAGTTATCACAATCGGAGTTAAAATAACCATTAAATCGAGATTTTTCGTTTAGAACCATTGAAAAGTTTTGTCCCGTTACTTGATCTCTGAATGTTTACTTTTTGCGATTTTTGGCGTATGCGGTGTCGAAGCATATACAAACAAGTTTGATGGTTGGATCGTTGAAATTAGTTTCATAGAATGCGTATCCCATGAAAATAATAGATTCACTAACACTTAAGAGTTTATTTATACTTTCATCAAGTATAACATAAGATTTTGTGGTATCCACTAATGTAAATATTTTAAATTGAAGATCAAGTTCATTCATTGTATTCATACAAGATCAAGGAGTGTAGCTGTAAAAAAATCATTAAATTCAGAATTAAAATAATCTCTAAATCGTGATATTTCGTTTATAACCATCGAAAAGGTTTGTTCCGTTACTTGATTTTTAAATGTTTGTTTCTTACGATTTTTAGTGTATGCGATCTCGAAGTATATACAAACAAATTTGACTGTTCGATTGTTGAAATTAGTTTTGTAGAATGCGTATCCCATCAAGTTCAATGGTATATATATTTATTAAGTAGCTTTAAATTTATTTATTTTGTACGTATAACACTTAAGAAATTGAATGATATATATATTTATTAAGTAGTTATGAATTTATTATTGTAGTTCAGATCGTGTTTTTGTTAGAAAAATATATTATTATATTTATTGAGCAATTTGTTAAAATTGGGAAGTTTAACGAAAAACCATATTTTTACACTAAAAAATTAATCTTAGTACTATTTACTTTATCATTTATTTTTTTCTTATTGTTAAAACTCACTTTTCAAATCATTTTCATTAATTTCCTTTTTAAATTATGACGGTTTAATTAGAAAAAAAGAGGCGGTTTTTCAAAATATTTCCGATTGGAAAAAATGGGCGCTTTTTGTTTTGTGTAAGGTGTTCTCATTCTTCCCTTCAGAGACCACTCCAGTTCAAATCCTCCCTTAGACCTCACTTCTCCTTGCGCCTCCCTCACTCTCAGTCAGTCACCACCACTCACCACTCTACTCTGGCAACCCCACAGCCGCAGCCTCGCAGCCTTTGGAGCCCAACTGTAGTCTGCAGCACCCACTGCAATCTGCAGAACACCTCAATGGCTCAACCCTTTCGCCCTCGAGCACTCGGTCGCTTCACCGTCGACAGCCGTCACAGCCCAGAGTGATTCTAAGGTAAATTATTTAATTTCGCATCTTAATTTCTCATCACAGCAAGCCCACCTGAATTTCTCTATTTGTATTGGAAAGCTCTGTTTGCATTTTAATGGGAATTACGATTAAAATAGAAAAATTGATGAATACAAGCACGTATATAATTAAGAGAAAGATGATGAATACAGCCACAACTCTGTTTGCATTGAGTTTTCGTTTTAAACTTTTTAAATTTATGATTATTTTCTGGGTAATTTCTTTGTAGATTTTGCCTATTAAGATTTCTGATTTATTTATGTTGTTTATTGTTCATCAATTAATTGCGAAATAGAATTCAATAACTTAGTCATGAGATTTGTCTTCATTTTTTTTATGTTAAATGAAACCCTCTTGTTTTCTATATGCGTGCGTGTGTGTGTGTGTGAGTATAGACATAGCACCAGATAAGGAAACACAGACCGAGGCGACATACTCTTCTCAGCACTTTTCTTGTTGCCTCTTGGAAATATCGATTTTATGAACTAACGTTTCTCACTTTGATTGGCGACTTGGAGTGTTGGAGACCAAACAAGAAGAAAAAAAATGACAAGAGATTATTCAGGTAATTTGTTTTATAGTTTTTGAAATGACATCCACCATCCTTGTGGGTATTCTGTTGGGTTTTTTTATTTTAATTTTTAAAAATATTTTTTTACAGACTAGTTTGAGTTGAATAAATCAATGGGTGTTGGAAGAAGTTGTCCTTGATCAGTTCAGTTGGTCAACACAACACAACATTGCAGTTGCTTAATTCATGTTAATTGTATTAGTTTCATTGAGCTTCTGTGAACAAATGCAAGGAAGGATATGATATTACTTTGCCTGTTAATTGATTAGTTTCAAATGCAAGAAAGAATTAGTTTCTAATGTGTTATATTTTTATGGTTCAAAAATTGTATAGATGTCACAGTTGATCACTTGTCGTCGGAGTGTGACCAGTGCACCTCCCGCATTTTCAGCACCTATCGCTTCAGCCGCGAGTGCTCCATTGATTGGGGAGCCTACACCCCTTACTGAGGCTACTCCTAAGGCGTCCCAGGTGCTCGCATCATTGACGTCATCAGTGTTGGTTCAGCAGCTCAGTGTGGCCCAGGAAGTTGCTCGGGAAGCCTAGATTGCAACACAGTTTTCGGCCCAAGACGAGAAGATGAGCATGATCTTACGAGCCTTACAGATGTCTAGCCTCCAAATCTTGATGCCAGCACCTGATCTTGCTTCACCTTCGATCTCCCAGCCATTTCGCCCAGCCTATACCTAGTTTCTGTTGTATCAAACCTAGAATACTACTTGTTGTAGTTTTTTCTTTTTTGTTCGGACATCTTCTATTTACATTTTCATATATTTTATAATTAAATACCTTTTCTTGGTTTATTAATTATTGTTTAGAATTTAATTACAATATTTATTAAAAATTAAATAAAAATATTGTTGCAAAAAAAAACAAGGGTTTGCGCGATGAAGAAGTAACATGCGTCGTGCAAAGCAGTTTTGCGCGACGCATGTAACTTCGTCACGCAAACCTTGCTGTCACTACCTTGATGCGATGGTTGATGTGCGACGATGGTTTCATTGGGCTAATTTCTGCACGATGTTTTTTAACTTTGCACGACAAAGGACCTGCGTCGCGCAAACTGTTTTTTGTACTAGTGCATGTCCTAAGATTACTTATCATTGATTTCAATTAGATTGAGCCCATGTTGAATTTGTTATTGAGATTTAGACTTATCAAAATTTAAATTTTAACAGAAAATTATGACTCAATGTTCATCGAAATATTAGGCAGACAAGGAGGAAGCAGTGCAGATCATCAGACATACCTTATGCAGATCCAATTTGAAGAAAACGCAGCGGAAATAATCATCCAAATTGATCATATTAATTTAGAGGTTGGGGAATCATAACCCAAGAGCATGTTTTGATGAATGGTGTTTCTGATCGAAAAGCCCCAATTTGAAAGAAACCCTTACCAATGGATTTGCAGAAAATCCAACAGTAAAATTCTTTTGAAAACCAACGGTAATACTTTAAACAGTTTTTGTTGTTATTCGCAACCCTTACACAAGAACCCGTGTTCAATTCCCGAACGCCGCAAAAAGGCATATTTTCTTAAATTTTTATTTATGCTTTTGAACCCATTGAATTTAATTACAGAATTCATATACTTATAATCAAGGCTCTGATACCACATATTGGCATAAACATAAAACCAAGATCAAGTAATACGAATCACTGTAATTAAAACACAAACCAAAATCCATCAGCCAATGCACAAAGAAGAACCATACCAGCAGATGAACTAGAACCGGTTCCCACGCATGTATGTTTTCTGCAACAATGCCGCAGTGCACCTTCTCCTCTCTTCAGTGTTCAAGATGCTCAACTAACAATAGGTCTTAGTCTGGAATAGAGCGCATACACTACGAGAGCAGAGGCCACCACATATATACTACATAATCCTAGCCAAATCCTAGAAGGATTTCCCTATTAAAATCCATATAGAAAACCAATTCATTCCAAATAGCAGACCAATTACAACATGGATTCACAAATCCATTCCCAACAAGACTTCCTATTCAATCTCTAATCCTATAACCAAGTTCACAGATTCATACTCATACTCATATTCCTACACTTCGAGGTTGGTCCAGGTCCCTAGTAATGAATCCAGATGAACACATTGGTGTAGCAAACACTTGGTTACCTAGACCCAGAATATATCTATACAGGCTGATGAAATTGAGATTCCATCATAAAGCCAATTGGCAATATGAGGAGTAGCCCAAGATCATATAAGCACATATCAAACCTTGTCCCTCACCGATGTGGGACAACTCTCAACACATGCCAGTTGACAGACAAGAGCAATGTTTATAGCTTTGGAATCGTATTGCTGGGGCTTCTAGCTGGGGAGATGCCGTTGGCCTTTTAAGAGACCAGAAAATCAAAGAATCATAACATCCCATTTCGTTTCTTCTGTAGAACAAAATGACATCTTTCAGATCGTTGTGGCACTAATTGTAAACAGAGAGCAACTCAGAGCAGTTGTGGAGCATGCAAAGAGTTGCATCAAGTTGAGTAGTGCCGAAAGGCCAGCGATGGAAGAAGCGGCAATAGAATTGAGGAGGTTATGTGGCGGCACACATTATCCCTAAGCCGGCTAGTTCACGTCGACAATTATTGAGAGAGAACCCACTGTAGGGGAAAGGAAACCTTGACTAATAGTATATTTTTGACCAATGATCTAACGGTTAAAACCTCAGAGTATAGATCTAGAAAATTCCTACGAGTTGTTTTAAATAATCCATTGCAGTTGAACCAATCTTTAAAATAAGGCCAATAATTTTAGTACTAATACAATGCGCATTGATCATCATATTTCTTTGATGGAATCTTTTCCACGTGTTCTTGAGTCGTGACGGCCACCAAATTGGCGACAATGCAAAGCCAGGTGAATTTTTATGACATATATATCCTGGCCACGGCCAGTCCAAATAGTTGCTAGTATAAAATGGCATTAGAAAGGACGAACTACATGCTGTCCCAATTTATTGCCAAGAACATAGAACCAGCTCGAAAGCTTTATAAAAATTGTTAGCATGGAGGCATTCCTTGTGGCGGAGGTAAAATCTGCGCTTGTAGGTTCTTTCCATTTTTTACTATGAACGTCATGTCCATTCCCCATGACATATGTCGGTCCAGATGACAGTGCATAAACCAAACGCCTACATACAACGACAAGAACAAAAACAATTTATCATGAGCTAATTATCATTCATTAATATAACTAAGTAGGGAGGTTAACTAAAATTGGAAACTGAAAATTGATATGGTTATTATAAAACAGTCCCTTAGATAATATATTTAATTAGAGATGATGAGCATCTTCATTAATTATGTACCAGGATTGTCTGCCTTGAATCTAATGGTAGTCCAACCATTTACAGGGACAGCGATGGTGTTCTGAAGAGGAGGATCGACAAGATTATACGTCAAAGGATCCTTGTCCTTGTCAAAATTTCCAAGCCCCCATCCCACAACGTAGAAACTGAATCCATGGAGATGCATCGGATGGTCATCTCCCGCCACCAAATTTGTCCCCTGAAACACAATCTCCACCGTTGAGTTGTACTCCAGTATCTTCACCTCCGTCCCTTGCTTCGGCGTCTGTAGGTACAAAGGCAAGTCCTGAGCTGTAAAATTAAACAGCAAGGGCGGGGAATTTGGAAAGCGACTTCCAAATGCCCCATTGACATGGTAATAGTAAGCTTGCAATATGTCAATGGTGGGGTTGACAAAGCTAATGTTGTTGACACTGGCAGCTAAACGTGTTCCATTAGGCCCAGCACATGAATTGTTCGGGCAGGGTAGTGAGTTGATGGAGAGTGTAAAGAACAAATGAGTTGTTATCTTGTGTGGCACGTCAATGGGGTGTTTTTTATCAGCCAAGCTTTTGAGTTTACTGGTAAAGTGAACTGATGCGTTGGTGTTGTTATGGGAAGGAATATTAGGCAAAGAAGTAGGGGATGAATTAGAATTTCCATGGTATCGGAGTAGGGCGGTGGTGGTTGTGTTATCGTAGGTAATCCCAGCCCCGCCAACGTAGGCTTTAGCAGCAATGTAGTAGTTGTTGGGGCTTTGGTCGGCATTTAACAAGATGTCAATGGTTTGGCCGGGAGATATGGTCACATAATCTGTTGAAAATGGCTTGGTGTAGCTAGCATCTGAGCCTACAACTGTGACGTTGTGATTGGCAATGGCGAAAAACATCATCTCTTGCACGGCGGAGTTGATTAGTCTGAGTAGGTAGGTTTTGCCGTAATCAACTATGAGCTTGAATGTGTCTGGTTTTGAGCAAGGATAGAGATCGCCGGGTTGACCATTGATGAGGAAAGCACTTGAAGTATTAGGGTCCCCTCCGCTTTGAATGGTTTCATTGTAAAGTTGTCCGATATCTTCCTTCCACCACTCTCCTACAATTTTCGAATCAATGATTTGCAGAAAAATTAGGATCGTAATTTGGAAATGTTTATATAAAAATCACTTATGTTCATAAGCTCTTTTACGAGAAATCCTTCCATTAGAACACATCGAAATTCCAATGGAAATTCAAGTGAAAATGCCCGAAAAAACCTTTTGACTTTACATGACAATGTTATCACAAGTGTATTTATGTTATTTGAAAGCGCTTTAAGCTATTATATAAGCGTTTATGGGATTGAAGTTTGAATTCATTTGCATACCCAAGATGATTGGAAATTCTGCGTGAGGCTTGGGAAAAGGGTAAGTGGCTCCCTTCTTAGGGTATATGACTATAGCACCGTGGACGGTGGCTCGATCCCACTCACTGTGAGCATGCCACCATAGAGTCCCTTCCTCTGAGGAAAATATAATGGTTTGGGTAAACCTGGCTCCTGGTTGAATAGGACATTGCGTGACGTATTCAGGACCATCGGACCATGGATTCCTCGGTTGCTTAACTCCATGCCTAAAATATAGATGGATATCATGAATTTAAGTAAAATTCTAAAGAGATTACATGCGATAAAGTTGATTAATTACCAGTGGATGGTAATGTTACGATTGCCTTTGTTATAGACATCCACTACAACACTATCTCCGGCATGAACATACAACGTTGGCCCTGGAAACTGACCGTTTATAGTCAAGATGTTCTTTGTGCTACACAGTCGTTTATATGGAGTTTCTTCCACCTAAAATTGATTATTGCAAACAAACAGAAATATGAGTTCATCAATATTTTTGAAATCAGCATACACATCATCGGTTATAAAGTGTAGATATACACACACCATGGATGTGTATATATGCATTTTAAGTTAATATATTATAGCCGAAAAATGCTAGTAGATCATGTTTTTAAATCATATTTTGTAGGCCATGTGAGGTGACGGTTGATGATTGAATTATTTTTTTAGAGCTTTAAAGAAGGAATATAGCTATCAACTGTCATATTATGTGGTTTATAAAATATGATTTAAGTAAATGATCTCTCTAACAACATGCATGATGCATGCAATTCATACATATGCATCAGAATTCAGAACTGAACTGCATCGAAAGGAAATGAGCTAATTACCACAAAAGTGTAGCGAGGAGGCGAAGCTTGGCAATGGAAGATCCCAACAGTAGACAATAACAAGCCAACTACAAGTTTCAAGCTAATTAAAATCTTCATGCTGATCGACGACGACATTGATGATTCGTTTCCTATGTCTACAGAAGATGTAGTTCGCATGATGAGTCGAGGATGGATGTGTGTGTATATATATATATATATATAGAGAGAGAGAGAGAGAGAGAGAGAGAGAGAGAGAGAGAGAAGCACAGGAGCCGATTATACGTAA